TTATGTCTTCAATCAGGTCAGTGAAAATCGACATCATGCAGCGTTGGAATGTTGCTGGAGCATTACACAAGCCAAATGGCATTCTGCTATATGCAAAGGTGCCATAAGGACATGTGAATGTCGTCTTCTCCTGGTCATCCGGGTGGATTGGGATCTGAAAGAAACCTGAATAACCATCTAAGAAACAGTAATAAGGATGGTTAGCCAAGCGTTCAAGCATCTGATCGATAAATGGTAAAGGAAAATGATCTTTGCAAGTTGCAGCATTCAATTTCCTGTAATCTATGCACATTCGATGCCCAGTAACAGTTCTAGTTGGTATCAATTCATTCCTATCATTTTTTATCACAGTGATGCCACCTTTCTTAGGAACTACATGAACCGGACTAACCCAATTACTATCTGAAATTGCATAGATCACACCAGCTTCTAGAAGTTTCATTATCTCTTTCTTTACAACATCTTGTAGATTCGGGTTTAACCTCCTCTGATGTTCTACAGAAGTCATTGATTCATCTTCTAGATGTATTCTATGCATGCAAAGATCAGGAGAAATCCCTGGAATGTCATCTAGTGAATAACCTATAGCTTTCTTATACTTTCTAATTTCACAAAGAAGCAAGGCAATCTCTACATTGTTCAATTCAGAGTTCACTATCACAGGGAATGTCGAATTGGGTCCTAGAAACGCGTACCTGAGCCCCACAGGAAGGGGTTTGAGCTCAAACTTCGGAGCTCTCAATTCGCTCCAAGGTCCATCAATCAAGCCGTCGGGAGCAGGTGCTCCAGGATTCAGAGCAGGTGCTCCGTCGGCTTTTTCTGCAGGTGAGCTCTCCTTGCCTTCTAAGCTCATGTACGCCACCAGCCTGCATCCTCGTGCTTGCATTCAGCATTTTTGCAAACCCATCAGCTTCTTCACTCAAATACCCATGTTCTCCTTCAGCTTTGGTGAGTGCAACTTCGAGAGGATCGATGGCCAAAACCTCTTCAGCAACCTCTTCAGCAATGCCTGAACCATCATCTATGACAAATGTTTGTCCGTCCAGCATTGGTTTCTTGAAGAGTTTATTCATCTCAAATCGCACCACCATATCTCCCAGCTGGAGATCTATCACTCCTTCTTTCACATCTATGATTGCACCAGCTGTGCATAAGAAGGATCGACCCAAAATCAAAGGATCCTTGGGTTCTTCATCAAGCTCCAGAACCACAAAATCTGCTGGAATGAGTGTATCACCTATCTGAACATGCAGATCCTCAAGTATACCAACAGGGAATTTGGTTGATCTATCAACGAATACCAGCGAGATTTTCATCGGTTTGAATCTGGTGTAACCCAATCGCTTGGCTACAGAGTAAGGCATCAGATTCACACTTGAACTCAGATCGCAGAGAGACCTTGCAAACAGTACATTCCCAATCCTGACTGAGAGAAGAAACCTTCCTGGATCACTTCTCTTCTTTAGCACTTTGTTCTGAAGCACAGCACTGCACTCCTTCGAAACCATCATGACACTCTCTTCCTCAACAGCTTTCCCAGACACTAACCCCTTCATGTATCTTTTAAGGCCTGGTATCATCTGAACAGCATCAGCTAGAGGGAGTTTTACAGTCAAATCCTTCAGCATCTCCCTGCACTTTGCATCCTCTAAGTCCTTGCGAGACTTCTTTGGTGGAACTGGGTAAGGTACCTTAGGCGTGTAAACTCTTGCAGGAATGTTTGCTGGAGCAGGTGGCTGGAGCAGGTGCTCCCTCGTTGACTCAGGGTGCTCCATCGTCAAATCTACGTCTGGAGCAGGTGCTCCAGATTTTGGAGCAGGTGCTCCGATGGAGGAAGAGTGCTCCTTCGTCTTTTTTACGTCATGAGCTGGTTCTTCTTCTTGGAGCAGGTGCTCCACGTCCTTTTCCTTCCTCTTTTCTGAGACAGAGCTTGTTGGTGCAGCATGTAGAATCTTCCCACTTCTAAGCTCAATAGCATTCACAAACTCATTCCTGGGGTTTTCACCTTTCCAGGTGATCTCTTCACAGCTTTTGCAGTCTGAGCTACCTGAACATCCAGCTTCTTCACATGAGTCCACACAGCCTCATACTTGCCATTCAAATAATTGTACATGGTGTCCACTTTGGCATTAATCTCCATGGAAGACTTTTGCTGATTACCCAGCAGCTATTGCATCAAGTTTTTCAGCTCATCCTGCGAATTATTTGAGGAACTCGAAGAAGGCTGTAGACTTGTGAAAGACAACTTCTGCTGATTTCCACCTTGAAATCGATTCTGATTGGTGATGAACTGCTTTCCTTGGAAGTTGCTGGAGAAGTTCTTCTGAAATCCTGACTGATTCTGCACTCCTTGCTGCGGATAGACCTGATCCTGAGGGTTCTCAACATTGTTGCTTCTATAGGATAAATTCAGGTGGCTTCTGAAGTTGTTGAAACTGCGATTCTGCACATACCCTTGTCCATTCATGAAATTTACCTCCATCTGATCATTATTCTCTGCATCTACAAACTCTTGAGCAAGAGGTGCATCACCAACCTCATCAGCAAAATGCACAGATCTCTGGTTCTCTCTCAACAGCAGATTCACCTTTGCTGTAAGCTCATCGATTTTGCTCAACTCCACACTATGAACTGATTTGCTAGACCTGTCATACTCTTGGGATTTGTTGCTGGAGCTTGCAGCTAAGTTCTCAATCAACTCATAAACAGCTTCTTTGGACTTAGTCATGAAATCGCCATTGCTAGCTGCATTCAAAGCATTCCTGTAATCCCAGTTGACACCATCATAAAAGGTTGACAGAATCTGCTCATCAGATAACCCATGGTGAGGGCACTCTCTTCGGTACTCCTTGTACCTCTCCCAAGCTTCGCAGAAAGCTTCACCAGGTTGCTGTTTAAACGACGAGATCTTGTTCTTCAGAGCTGCAGTTTTGGCCTTAGTGTAGAAATGGTCCAAAAATGCTGATCTGCACTCTTCCCATGTAGTCAATGATCCAGGTGGTAATGACTTCAGCCAGCGCAAAGCTTTGTCCGCAAGTGAGAATGGAAAAAGCTTGCACTTCAAGAAATCGGCTGGTATCCCATTTGATCCAGTCGTGCTGCAAATCTCCTCAAAATTCTCGATGTGGTCCATCGAAATCTCAGCAAGAAGCCCATGAAAGAGGTGCTGCTTCACCAATGAGATCAGCTGAGGTTTGATCTCAAAGTCTTGCCTCTGAATGGTTGGAGGAGCAATCGCAGCCCTGTTGTGATAGTAAGCATGCGGACTGTCCTTGTCTCCAATAGCAGGCTGTGGCTGCTCCCTGTCTTGCTGCACCTTTTGCAGCTGCTCCAATTGCTGTCGAAGCTGTTGCAACTCGACAGCCATGTTGCCATTGTTGCCTTGATCGCCCATGTCGGCTTGAATAGGCCTTTGACGTCTGTTTTCTCGCTCGACTCTTGCTAGCTCGGTGTTCGACAAAGAAACAAGATCGGTGCAGTTGCTCCTTGTGGATATGTTTGACATACACCTGAAACACACGCAAACAAGAGAACAAGAGAGAAAAATTAGTAAAGCCTTAGTCTGAATTTCAAACCAAAAATCAAAGGTAACGAATTGGTCCCCATCGCAACGGCGCCAAAATTTTATTCAGATTGGTCCCCATCGCAATGCCGCTCTTGCTATTTTACTACACTCTCTGAGGTAACTTCACTTCATTATTGATTAGCTATCACATATTTACATGTATAAATCTGCATGTGCACACACAAAGACAGTGTAACAGTTTTGGTAGATCCTGTTGTTATTGATTGAGGCATGATTCACACTGGATGTACTCCTAGTTTCTACTGCAATAGAACAGTGATGTAGTTGTAATATAAAGGATTCGGAATCCAGAGGACCAGTGTTACTCTATGACTTTGCGAGGATTAAATTAAAGCTAAGACGAAAGATGGTTTGTTTCGAAAACTAAAAAGTAAACAGAATGGCAAACAACGATTTAAATTCAAATTAAAACAAGCACTAGACCAAAGCAATTCGCAGGAATTTCAGAGATAAGAATCAGATGACTATTCAGGGCACAAGTGTAACGCAAGTCTCGAACTCAAACAGAAAAGCTTATCGATCCACTGTCGTGATCTCGATAACTTTGTCTAACAACCTAAATCCTAAACTGTCGTTTGAACTTAGAAAATTGCAGACAAGCATTAGCTAGCAGGTTTGATCTGTTCACGATTTGCCTTAACTTCAACTGTCGTTGGCTAAGGACAAATCGCTCACCAATGTTTATTCTAGCAACCTATTACACTTTTGATGAATAGATTAACCTAAAATCGCAGATTGAGTGATCAATTCAACCTAAGCATTAAGTCTAACAATGGTGAAGACAATAGATATCAAGCCCTATTTGCATCTAATCCTTTAACTCATGAAATCCTTTGAACGCTTTAATCTAGCTAAGAGATCTACTCAGACATGGAGAAAAGAAACACAGCAACAGATGAAAAGGAATTCATGGATTAAAAATCGCAGAAGAGATAATAGGGTTCAGAATTCTTCTCAAGTGTAGCAGATTTCTTCTCCCAAAAGCTTACAAGTAAAAACTCTCTGGTTCAGGAAATTGTAAAAAGAAAGCGTAAAAAGTCTGTAGAAAAACGTGATTATAAAACACAGGCGGCTGTGGACTTTTTATTCTCTTTCTCCTCCTAAAATTAGGTAAAAGTCGATTTCCTTATTTTACTTCCGTCTGGAGCAGGTGCTCCACGAAGGGTCCAAACCGGGAGCAGGTGCTCCGGGGATGATTTCTCCAAAAACGTGTGAAATAGCTCCTTATTGCTCAAATTCATCTCCTTTTGCTCCAATGCCTCCTAAACACTCCAATCCTTTGATAAGGCCTCTAAGTCACCTGAAACTTCCTGAAAAGACTCCAAAAACTCCTAAAACAATCAGTAAACACAAGTTAGAATGAGTCAAAATCTCCACTCATCAAGGCATCAATATGGAAAAAAGTATATGACAGCTTCGTAGGAGGTGTCCGAGATACAAAGGAGGAATAATATGGTACGACCAATGTCTTTTAGAAATTTCTACGGTAAAAACTTTCGGGAGGATCGATTACGACAACAATTTCTGTATGTCCAATGCGAAGAGATTTAGTGTCCAAGGTTATACCAACACTAAGTGGCAAGCACTCATAAGCAATCTGACAACTATAGCCATCAATGAAAAAAACCCTTCACCGGTGTACGCGGCGGGGGAGAGGAGGATCGGGAGGGACAAAGTGTACGGAATGGTGCAGTGTACGCAAGACATATCGGCAAAGGGGTGCGTGGAGTGTCTGACACATAATATGGTGCATCTTCAGGATTGCTTGTTTTATAAACGAGGAGCGAGAGTTATTGGTAGGAGCTGTAACTTTAGGTATGAGTTTTACCCTTTTGTTGCTGTTGGTCCTAATTATTTGAAGACCTAAAGCCATTTGAAAAAATTGTGGCTTTTAATTAGTTACTAGATTTTACGCCGTGCATCCGCACGGAAATATTTTATAATCAAAATTTGTAATAGAATTTATGTTTTATTTATAAATATAATTTTTCTAATAAATGACAAAGATTAATTTATATGTTTAGATATAATTTGTGTTTTATTTTTTTTTCTAGTAATATTATGACCACAATCATATAAACATATATCTAATCCGGTAATTTTATTAATAAAAAATAACTGTTATTATAAAAACATATTTTTATTTCGTTTATTCTATTAAAAGGAACCGTGGTTATAAAACTATAATTCTAATCCGTCCGTTCATATTACTATATAATATAAATATTTACTAATTTTAAAATAATTTTTACCAAGTCTATTGTATCTGAGACGGGTTGTCTTGAGTCTTAATATCTTGCATGTTTTGATAACCTAACCCGCATAACATCACAATTATAAAAAAAAAATCTAACCCATTTCATCATATTACTATATAATATTAATATTATCAATTTTTAATATGTGAAATTTTAGTTTGATTAAATATGACTGAAAAAAATAATGTATTTATTAATCATAGTGTTATTCTGTAAATATTATTTGAATTTTAAATATTAAATTAAATCTAACATATTTAATCGAACTTATATTTAACGAAGTCTAAAATAATTTAAATTAATATCTATGGTCAGATTTAAATTTAATTAACAAAATAAATAGTTTGAATTTAAATTAAATATCACATATATTTAAGGAAATCTTTAGTTATCTAAATTAATATCTAATTTTCAAAATTAAATTTATTAAAAGTGTGTTTTTAAATGATATTGTAATAAATTAAGATAATTATAAATCTAAATAATTTTCTTAAAAAATTTTAGGTGTGTTTGGATGCAAGCACTAAATGTGCTTCTGTTTTAATAGAATAGATTTTTTGGGTGTAAACTTTCAATTTTATTTTATATGGCTATTTATAAATTTTGTATTTTACTACAAAAATATGATGTAGTTTATTATACAATCTCTATTACGCTTTAAAAAAATCTATTCAGAATATTCCTGCAAATTTGTTGTTATTTTCTTTTGTAAATTATTTAATGAAAGTAATAGAAATAATCAAGGAAATAATAAAATTATACATTATATACGCATTGGCCATGTTTTGAATACGTTTACACTCTTCTTTTTCTTCAGTCCAACTCCGTATAAAAATCAGAATCTTCACATTCTGATACTTTTTATTTTTCGATGGGTTTGGTCATCTAATTAAATATGCATTAAGGCTTTCTCCACTGCAGCCAGCCAATGATGCTCTTCCTCCTATTAGCGTTGTTACTCCCTTTTCACTTAGCTCTGCTATATATAATAATGCTAATTATATTGTAGATGAAACTGAAAGTTGGAATCTTACCAAAAAAAGAAAAAAACAAAGAATCTTGTATTAATAGAAATTAAAAATTTATTCATTTAAGTTTTGCACCGTACAAATCGTGTGATTGGAAGAGTTTGAACTCAGTCTCACCCTTTTTGTCGCCGTATAAGTCTTAGGTCCCAACTCTTCTCTCCTGTCCGTTACAAACTGTAAACATTTTCACCTACAAGCTGAATATATATATCAATCGAATTCGTATAAAGTAACTAAACATCACAGTCTCAACGCTTCATCTATAAAGAAACACCCCTCTTTGGGGAAAAGGAAAGAAAGAAAGATATCCGGAACAATGTATTCTTCCTCATCTGTATCAAAACGCCACGTTATGGTCCCTATCTTGGCCGTGGTGGCCATACAATTTCTCCTTAATTATACCCAGCGTTTTCTCCTTGAATATGACTAATGCGTATCTACAACACAAATGCTTTGTCAGTCAAGGGAAATACAAGCCGGGAAGTGAGTACGAGAAAGACCTCATAGATATCATCGATTCCCTCCCTTTGACCAGTAATTTTACCCGCGGTTTCGAAATGAGTTCCTCTGGTGAAGGTCCTAATTACGTATCCGTCACACATCAGTGCCGTGGCGACTCCTATGGTGCGAAATGCCGCTCTTGCTATTCCACCACCATCTCTGAGGTAACTTCACTTCAATATTATGACTAGCAGTCACATATTTAAAAGTACCAATCCGCACGCACACATGCAGAGACAGAGTGTATCAGTTTTGGTTATAAACTTACATATCCGTGCATGCAATGTTCTTATTGATTGTGACATCGACATGGAATTTTTTTAATTATGTATATGATAGCTTCGTAGAAGATGTCCAAGATACAAAGGGGGAATAATATGGTACGACCAATGTCTTCTAGTCATTTCTGCGGTCAATTATTTTGGGAAGATCGATTACGACAACAATTTCTGTATCTCCAATGCGAAGAAATTTAGCGTCGGACATTATTCTAACGTGCCTTGGGGAATTTTCATAGATAATCTGACAACTATAGCCATCAGTGAAAAAAATCCCACGGAGCTGTACGCAGCGGGGGAGAGGAAGATCGGGAGGGATAAAGTGTACGGAATGGTGCAGTGTACGCAAGATCTATCGTCAAAGGGTTGTTTGGAGTGTGTGACAAGTAATAGCGTGAATTTTCAAAAGTGCATGTTTTATAAACGTGGAGCGAGAGTTATTGGTAGGAGCTGTAACATTAGGTATGAGTTTTATCCTTTTGTTGCTGTTGGTCCTAATTATTTGAAGACCTAAAGCAAATTGAAAAAAAGTGTGGTCCTAATTAGTGTGTGTGTTTTTTTTTTGTTTGTGTGTGGTAAACTTTCAGTTTCATTTTGACAAAAATTTATAATGTAGTTTCAATAATCTCTATTACGCTTTAAAATATCTGCTCGAAAAATATATTTTTGAAAATTTCCTGAAAATTTGTTGTTTTTTTTTTTGTCCTGTAAATTATTTAATTAAAAATAGAATACAATCAGCGAAATCATAAATTAAAAAGAGAAATATTGCATTAATACGTTTTGATTACGTACATTTATAGTCTTCTTCTTCTTCGGTCCAATCCAACACTGTTCAGAAATCAGAATCTGACATTCTGACAATATTTTATTTTCGATGGGTTTGGTCATCTTTGTATAATATGCAACCATTACCGCTTCTGGTCCTCTTCTCATTAAGCTTTCCCCGTTAAACTGTTTTAGTTTTACCTGTCTGGTCAGTATCATATAGAGTGGCGGAACCAGCCCAAAATTGTACTAGGGTCAATTTAATTTATAATAAATATAAATTAAAATATTATAAAATATAAATATATTTTCCAAATGTTAACTGTTTTAAAAATAGTTAATATTTATTAATTATTAAAAAATATTAATAGAGTAATATATTTTTGTCGACAGTTAAGTAAAAATCTTATATGGTTAAGAAAAGAAGTGAAAGTTTAACAAAAGAAAAATATAATTGAGAAGAAAATATTGAGTATGTGATAATAAAATAATTCAATTATTTATGAAGATAGAATTTAGAAGTGGTGGACTTTTGAAAATAATAAAAGAAAAAAAAAAGAAATAGAAAAAATAAAAGAACAAAAAGAAAAAAATAGTTAAATAGTAATTGAAATAATGGTAATTGGCTCAGGTGAAAAATGAGAATATGTTTAGAAGATTGTCATGGGGTCAGTGATCATGCAAATATTAAAGGGGGTCAATAAACTTATTTTACAACATTTTACCAAATTTTCTCTTCAAATTATAACTAAATATTTTGGTAACAAAAATTCACATGGGTTATTTGACCCCCCTCCCAAAGAGAGCTACCTCCGTCACTGATCATATATGGTCTTTTTTTTAAAAATTTTTAATGTAAAGCAATTTTTTTATTATCTAAAATCATGCAAACCATAACATTTTAGTAAACGATAACTTTATATGTGTATATATTTCATCCGGAATCTTATCATATTTTACCAAAATTGCTTTATTTCACGTTAGGACCTTAAAAATCGTGTGATTGGAAGAGTTTGAACTAAGTCACACCTCTGAAATTTTTACATATTCGTCGGCCCTCTTCTCGCCGCAAATAAGTCTCAACCTTCGACTCCTCTCTCCATTCCGTTACAAACTGTAAACATTTCTTCTACAAACTGTATTTATCAAATTAAAATTACGTATAAGGTAACCAAAAACTATAAATCAGTTGTATATATATATATTCAATATCCAAATCCCCTCAGTGTCTCAATTACGCTTCACCATATATAAAACACCCCCTTTTGAGAAAAAAAAAATCCAAAACAATGTACCCTTCAACGTTTGTACTAAAGCGCCTAGTTTTAGTCCGTATATTGGCCGTGGTAGCCATACAACTGTTCCTTATACGCAGGGTTTCATCCTTGAACATGACCAATGCATATCTCAACCACAAATGTATGGTAACTCAAGGGAAATATAAGCCGGGAAGTGCGTACGAGAAAACCCTGAAATCTATAATCAATTCCATCGCTTCAACCAGTAACAATATCGCCGGTTATGACATGGCGTCCTTTGAAGGTCCTAATAATACCGTCTCCGCCATCCTCCAGTGCCGCGGCGACTCATACGGGCCTAAGTGTCGTGACTGCTTTGACTATATCATTGGTCCTCCTCTCCTCTCCGCTCTCCGCAAATACCAAGTCTCTGAAAAAGAAATTAAGACGATCTTCAGAATTTTGACTTTTTTCATTGGCCCTCCTCTCCCCTCGCCGTAAATACCAAGTCTCAAACGCCAAACTTCTCTTTCTTGTCCGTTACAGACTAAAAACATTTCTTCTACAAGCTGAAATGATCATTCAAATTTTGTATAAATTAATCAAAACAATAAAAAAAATACAACCATTCCAATAATTATCAAGTAAAACTTTCAAAACTCATATGCACTAAATATCAAAGATCTCTCAAGTTCCCCTATATAAACATCTCAACTCCTTCATGATTTTTATCTAAAAAAAAATTATTCCCCTCTGGTGATAATGTCAAAATCCAAAGTAATGTACTCGTCATCTTCTGAAACTAAACGCCTCGTTTCAGTCCCTATAATGGCCAAGGTGGCCATGCAACTCCTCTTTATTCACAGTGTTTTTCTCATGACCTAGACCAAGGCATTGAACCAGACCAATGCGTATCTGCACCACAAATGCATCAACAATCAAGGATTATACAAATTAGGGAGTCCATACGATGTTAACCTCAACAATGTCATCCGTGTTATCTCTACGTCAATAACTAACTACGGTTTTGTACACATCGATAGTGGTAATGCTCCAAATACCGTCTTCGCCAAGCTCCAGTGCAGGGGTGACTCTGACGTCTCCAAGTGTCGCTCTTGCCTCGCCACTGCCTACTCTGGGGTAATATAACTTGAAAATTACTGATTAATTATTTGACACATATATACTTATATAAATGCGCGCACACACACATACCAGTTTGATTACATCTATATAAAATAGATATTTGATGATCCTAACACCCTATGTATTATAGATGTTATATAGTTCTTGATTTTGGTGTTAATATAAGTATATCAATGATAGCTTCTCAAGAGATGTCCGAAAAACAAGGGGAAAATTATATGGTACGACAACTGTCTTCTCGAGATTTCTCCAGTTAGCACCTTATTCAAGCTCGATTATCAGAACAATTTCTATTTGTACAATGCGAAGGATGTAAGCGGCAATAAAGAAATGTTTAACAAGAATACGAGGACTCTCCTCTATGAGCTTAAGGAGAAAGCCATCAGTAAAGGAAACAATGCTGGCAAGATTCAATTTTTGTACGCGACAGGGGAGAGAAGTCTTGGGACAAAGAAGTTGTACGCACTGGTGCAGTGTACAAAGGACTTATTGGATAACAATTGCAATGTGTGTTTGAATTGGATTATGGCGAAGCTTACCGAATGCTGCAACGGTAAACAAGGAGGAAGAGTTGTGAGTACGAGCTGTAATTTTAGGTATGAGCTTTACCCCTTTTTAAAGACTTAAGATTACTGTTTAATGAGAGCTCCATATGTACATTTTGTTGCTGTGTTTGAATAAGTGTTATTTTTCTTTTTTTGATATGGAAAAATTGTAAAAAAGCACGAACTTTCAAATTTTGGTCCTTCAAAACACGAATTATCGCGTGAACATTTTAATTCATCAGTTTTTCTTGATTTTAAACTTAAATTATAAACTCATGTTAACTTAGCCAAATTAAATAAGATGTGAAGTTGATAAACAGAACAGATGAACGAGGTTAAAAAACCATTGTAAATCAAAGTTAAATGACACTAACGCTATTTTAATTTTAAACTCCAAATTACAAAGATCCTAATCATCTTTTTGGGATTTTCTGAAGAAATAATAAACGATTTCATATCATTTAGTCATGATTTACAACGGTTTTTTCAACCCAGTTTATCCATTCCGTTTGTCGGTTTTACATCGTATTTAATTTTGATCACTTAATAAATGTTTATGATAAAATTAAAAATTAACATAAATTGATGATTTAAACTTGAAATTTGAAAGTTTATGCCTTTTTGACAAGTTTCCCTTTTTTTAATGTCAGAGTAACGGACCAAAAAATGTCACAATATTTTTTGTTATCATGGAAAAAGCTCAATATTAGAGATGAGTCGATGACCATTACATAGTTGAATGCTAGCCAGCTGACCCTTAGCTTGCTACATAAGATTATCGAATTTGAAAAATATTGTAAAAACGCAAATAGTTTTATAAAAAACCAAGTGAATTTTCAAAAAAAATTAGAACGATCCTCCTTCTACGGATCTACTCGTCTTCTAGGGTTCTCTCTCTTCCCTCTATCTTTTTGCTCATTTACGCTGATAGTAAAGATGGTGGTGACGACGACTTCGACATTACCCTTACTCATCAGCCACACTTTCATCTCTGATTATTTTATTGGCTATCCCCTCCTCTCGGCGCAAATACTAAGTCTCAAAGCCAACTCCTCTCTCCTATTCGTTACTGACTAAAAATATACATATTAATTTTATCAGTTAATTAATTAATTTACTTTTCAACATTTCTTCTAAAAGCTAAAATGTTCCATTTATAAAAACATCCCAATTCTTCCACGATTGTTATAATAATAAAAAGTTGTTCATCTCCGGAGATAATATCAAATTTCAAAACGATGTCTTCATTTATATCGGAACGCTTTGTTCTGGTCCCTATCTTGGTCGTGGGGGCCATGCAACTCCTCTTTATACTCAGTATTGCGTCCCTATCTCAGACCGATGCTTTGAACCAAACCAATGCGTATCTGCACCACACATGCATCAACAGTCAAGGGACATACAGACCGGGGAGCCCATACGAGGAAAACGTCAACAGAGCCATCAAAACTATGTTTAAAAAATTGTTAGACTACGGATTTATTCACTCCGTCGTTGGTGATGCTCCCAATACTGTCTATCCCAAGCTCCAGTGCCGGGGCGACCTTAGCTTATCCCAGTGCCACTCTTGCCTCACCACTGCCTTCGCTGGGGTAACATCACTTCAATATTATTTTCTTAGCTGTCACAATCACATGTATACATAAAATGCACTCAGACGCGCACATTAGTTTTGGTTATATCTTAGAATCCTGATACTTATATTGTGGGTGGTTTATCTGAGATACATATGTAATATTGATTGGCATTTTAAGGATAGTACAAAAAAAACTGTGTATTATAAAACAGAAAAAACAATAGTTTTTGATTTTGGTGTCTAAGTGACAGATTCGTAAGAGATGTCCGAAAAACAAGGGGAGAATAATATGGTACGAAAACTGTGTTCTCGAGATTTCTTCGGTCTATAGGTGGTCGCAGATTGATTACCAAAACAATTTCTTTTTGTACAACGCGAAGGATGCGAGTGGGGATAAAGAGTCGTTTAACAAGAAGACGAAGGCTCTCCTTTATAATCTGAAGGAGAAAGCCAGTAGTAAAGAAAATGATCCCTACGGGAAGAACTACATGTATGCAACGATGGAGGAAAGTCTCGGGACGATGAAGTTGTATGGAATGGTGCAATGTATGAAGGATTTGTCGGTTAAAAATTGCAGTCTGTGTTTAGACTGGATCATGGCAAAGTTTCCGAAATGCTGCAATGGTAAACAAGGAGGAAGAGTTTTGTGTACAAGCTGTAATTTTAGATATGAGCTTTACCCTTTTGTAAAGCCTCTTGTAAAGACTTAAAAGACTATTTAATGAGAGCTCCGTATGTATACCAAATAAAATACCTGGGGAAGTACGGAAAATTCCTCCTTCTTTTGAAAATACCTTGAGCAAATTCAAGCTTTATGAATTGTTTTATTATTTTTCTCAAAATCTTGGTTACATAATTTTTGGTCGTAGACTGTCTACTATCCCTTTATTTTTTGAGTAGGTTTTTTTTGTTCTTGCAAATAAGTAGCTAGGGCCCACTTTCCATATAATCTAAACTTGTAATCCAAGCACAATTATTTGATAACTCCTTTGACGTTGAATTTCTCCTTTTTTTTTTCACTTTCTGAAAGCTAGTTTAAAACAAAGTGTAGAAATAATTCGGCCGGTCCGAATTTTCAGGTAGGCAACCATACGATGTGAATTGTAGGGTTTGACTTTTTCATCGGCCTTCCTTTCCCCTCGCCGCAAATACCAAGTCTCAAGACTCTCAGCCCTCAACTCCTTTCTCTCCTGTCCATTACAGACTAAAAACTATTCTTCTAGAAACTGAAATGATTAATCAAATTTTGTATAGGGTAGCAAAAAAAAAAAAAAACGAAAAAGTCAAACCATTCTCCATATCCAAAGTCCATCGGGTCTCCTATATATTACATCCCAACATCTCCATCATGCATCTAATGAAAAAAAAAAAAAACTCTCCAGAAAAAAAGTCAAAACACAAAACAATGTACTCTTCATCCTCTGTATCAAAACGCTTCGTTTCCGTCTCCATATTGGCTGTGGTGGCCATACCACTCGTCTTTATGCGCAGTGTTTTGTCCCTGAGCCAGACCATTGCATTGAACCAGACCAATGAATATCTACACCACAAATGCATTAACAGTCAAGGGACATACAATTCAGGAAGTCCATACGAGGAAAGCCTAAACCGTGTAGTCCGTTCCATCTCTAACGGAATCTTCGCAGTGGTTTCGCCCACGCCTCTAATGGAAACCCTCCAAATACCGTCTTTGTAAAGCTTCAATGCCGTGGTGACTCCTACTGGTCCAAGTGCCGGTCTTGCCTCTCCACCGCATTCTCTGGGGTAACATCACATAAATACTATTGATTAGCTGTCACATAGTTATATATATATATATATGTATATATATGAATACCCATACTCTACATGATAAATTGATAATATTGGTGCTTTTAGCCTAATCCACTTCCACTAAAAAAATAAGTGTGTATTACATCACTTAATTTGTATCACTAAAATAAATAATATTATTTTAAATCACTTATTACCAATTGATATAAAAATATGTAATTTAACATCAGTTATGTAACTGATTTTACCATTAGTTAATTTAACATCAATTTAATAATAAATGATGCAAATTTTTATTAATTTATATTACTTTATGAAAAGTGATACAAAAATATGAATGCATATCACTTAAATAATTGATGTAACTATATGTTAACATCATTTAGAAAAATTATATATATATATATTACATCAATAAAAACGTAATGCTAATAAATTTTTAATTATAACTTTGATGTTTGTCCACATCGACAACTAAGAGAGGAAGTGAAGAGTTTGATTTTTTATAAATAACTCTAAAAATAAATATTGAGGTATTATCATAAGTAAAAATAAATAAATTATTTATAAAATAATTATAAACTAATATTAAAATAATTAAAATAATTTAATACAAAATTTAAATTATTACATATATTTTAAAATTTATAATTATTATATAACATTACCATCATTTATATTGATTGATGCAAATCTTTAATTTTTTTTTTGTTACCGATACAAATTAATATTAATTACAATAATGATGGAAATATTTACATCATTTGCTTAATTGATGCAAATAGTTACATCATTTGCTTAAATGGATGTAAAATATTTGAACAACTGATGTAGATATTTGCATCACTACTTTCAGAATCACTTATTTAAATTTGTTTAAATTGATGTAAAATATTTGAACAAATATTTGCATCACCATTTTCAAAATCACTTATTTAAGTGATGTAAAATTTTTTAACATCACTTATAACTAATGCAAATATAAAAAATAAATGATGTAAAACACACTTTTTTTGTAATGTTTCTCCTATAGCTTGCCATTTAACATTAGTGCAACCATTTGTTTTGATTATGTATACATTGTACTAGCTACAAGAAAACATCTTCATTTCAGACGTCTATATTCCTTGGAAAATCATCGCAAACACGTGTTTTTATGACTGGTCCATGCAAAATTATTCTTGATTTTGGTGTTGATATATATGTGTATATGTGACAGCTTGGTAGGAGATGTCCAAAAAATAAAGGGGGAATAATCTGGTATGACAACTGCGTTCTCGAGATTTCTTCGGTCAATACCTTAGCAAAAATTGATTACCAGAACTACTTCTATTTGTTCAACGCGAAGGATATGAGCGACAATATAGATTCGTTCAACAAGAATACAAAGGCTCTCCTATATAAACTGAAGGAGAAAGCCAATAGTAAAGAAAATAATGCCGGCAAGGATAACACCGTGTACGCTGCTGGGGAGAATGTGTTCGGCACTAAGAAGTTGTACGCAATGGTGCAATGTAGGAAGGACTTATCACCTGACGAGTGCAATGTGTGTTTGAACTGGATATTGCCGATGCTTCCCAAATGTTGCAATGGTAAACAAGGAGGAAGAGTTTTGAGCACGAGCTGTAATTTTAGGTATGAGCTTTACCCTTTTGTAAAGACTTAAGACTATTTGATGAGACCTCCATGTGTATATTTTTGTTTTGTTTGAATACCTTTTTTCAGCAAAGTAAAAGTAATGTGGTCTTTTTTTTTATCTTGCTTCAAACGAATAGTAGTATCCTTTTGTATTAAAGAAAAAAGAGATTTTAAATGTTTCAATAGGAAGAAATACATATGAGTTTATATTATAGAAATGAAAAGTATATGTATATAAATAGCTTTTGATTTATTAATTAATAAAAGACCGGACATTAAACAATTGTCATATGAGTGTTTAATGACTTTCTAACTAAAAACCAATCCAGATTGAATAGCATGACTGCATGACCCATGACACTCTTAACCTAAGATTAGATGCTCCCAAATTTCCTTCATGGAATTCCTTAAAGTTTAACTCATATTTTTGTAGCGGCGTAGTTGACATTTTATTTCATAAAAAATAAACACTCCCTAAAAATAGATTTGAGAACTTCCTCTGCAGTATCTACGCGTACATGAATTGTTATCAATTAGCCTTTTAATTCTTATTATTATCGAGGACTCTTAATTCGAAAGCTAGACTAATAATTCCCATAGCCTACAAAAACTAGTATTTTGTGGAGAGATATTAAAGAGTATATTTATCAACAAGAAAAAAAACTATCATTATCGTGAATTTTTTTCAATTCACTTCTTTTTTTTTTCAAGTATATTTATCATTATATTGTTACCTGACGGATTGTAAATTTCTTAATATTACAATCAATTTTACATGTTACATTGTTATGTTAGAGAATACAATGTAAGCTATGATTCTTCAAATTATATGAAATTTATTATTTCAATTCAAGAGTAAAGTTCTCAATTTTGAAGATTAGCTCCTATAATAAACAAAAATAGATTTAAAAATTTAATTTATATTAATAAATATATTTTCTAATTATGATATTTTCCCTCTTGAGATATGTGTGTGTATACAATGATGATAAGTTGTTATGTTTGCGTAATTGTTTTGACCTATTTCTTTCATAATCGTAGTACAGCAACGGACACTTCAGTCTTAAGTCTTAACCCTGTTGAAACACATGTATGAACGTAAATTTTAAATAGTTTATTTGGTTAATGAAAATAATACGTTGACGAATTTGGGAGTCTTATGATACCACCTCCCGTTGGAAGCCCGTCGTTTCTAAGCAAAAAACTATTCTTGTCATTATAGAACTACGTAATAAATTATTAATTGCCTTCAATATCAGGTCAACACCGTATCGTGTGGTTCTAAGAGATTTAAATTGTCGAACTTTGACTTTTTCATTAGCCCTCTCCCCTCGCCGCAAATACTAAGTCTTAACCTCTCTCATGGCTTACAAACAAAACACATCTCTTATATATAGAAACTCAAATGATCAATCGAATTTGTACAAGGTCACAAAAGTAGAATAAAAAAAAGCTCCGCTTAAAATCTAAAATCCCTCATCAAAGTCTCCTATAAACATTCCCATTCCTCAACGATCCATCTAGCAATAGTAAATAAATAAAACAACCCCTCAGGACAAAGATTCAAAGAACACAAACAATGTCTTCAAGTTTTGGATCGGTCTCTATCTTGGCCATGGTGGCCATACAACTCCTCCTTATACGCAGCGTTTGGTCACTCAACCTTAACAATGTGTATCTCAGCCACAAATGCAACAACACCCAAGGGAAATACACGCCAGGGAGTGTGTTCGAGAGAAATCTCAACCAAGTCATCAGAAACTTATCTACCTTCGATCTGCGCAACGGTTACGCCCTAGACTCCAGTATGTAGACTCCCTACACAGATATACCTCCCAACACCGTCTTCGTTATGATCCAGTGCCGCGGCGACTCCTACGGTTCCAAGTGCCACTCATGCCTCTCCACAGCCATCTCTGGGGTAATTAACATCACTTCACCATTATCTATTAGCGTCAACTATTTCCATATATAAATGCATTCTCACATACTGGTTAGTCTTAGACTCTTAGCGATAAATATATAGTAATAGATACATATATATATATATATATATATATATAATAAGACTATCCTGATACTCTACATAAGTCCTTTTTGTTTGGTCAAGATTCTACACCGCATTTAGGGCTAGTACCTAGACTATATTATATACGTAAATTAGTCTACGCAATATTCTTCTAAATCGTGGTGTTCATATATAAATGACAGCTTCGTCAGAGATGTCCGGGAAACAAAGGGGGAATAATATGGTATGACCAATGTCTTTTGGAGATTTCTACCTACAGTTACGATAGGGTCTCAAGGATCGATTACGATAATATTTTATGTATGTCAAACCCGAAGAACGTGAGCGGCAATCCGCAGAGGTTCAACAAGGTGAGGAAAGATCTCTTCCAAAAGCTAATGTTAGAAGTCAGCAGGAAAGGCGAAGATGGCAAAGGACCATTGTATGCAACGGGGGAGTCAACGCTCGGGATAAAGAAGCTTTACGCAATGGTGCAGTGTACGAACGACTTATTTGAGAACGGTTGCTATGTGTGTCAAGAGTGGCTTGCCGAGAAGTATGGAAAATGCGGCGACGGAAAACAAGGAGCAAGAGTTTTGGGTAGAAGCTGTAACTTAAGGTATGAGCTTTACCCTTTTCTTAGATCTAATTAGGGACTGATCGGTGAGAGCTTATTGCGTAGTGTTTGAATAAGTGCTATTAGCGAATAAAAAGTGTCCTCCTCTTTGTGGTTTGTTTTGTATTAACACAACAGTATGTATGGAGAGCTTCTAACTTCTTTTATTCTCTTGTTGTGTCAACGAGCTCTTCTAAGCTAGAAATATCAAATATCAAATACTCCATTATATTTACCCGTTAACTTATGCAAAATCTCCATAAGTAAATAGTGATAAAATTAAAATTAAATTTCTCTAAATCTTATATTTGTAATTTTTTTTTTTATGTTTCACAGAAACGTTTAACTATTTAATTATAAAGTTTTTTTTTTGCTAAACCTTATTTATCACTACTTAGACGCTTCAATTTAACAATAAAACATACGTAAATTGACTTCACACTCCAAAATATCACTTTTGTTTCCCCAAAGAAGAAGGAAGTCTAGGCTTGAGCAACTTCGCATTATGAAATTAAAAACATGATGTCTGGGTAAATGGGTTTGATATGGATGTTGTTTGCCAATAGAGACTTTCTATGGGTAGCATGGACCAAAACCCAGAAGATAAAAAATGGGAACTTTTGGAGATTTGATGGAAAAAGCAAAATTGGTAGACCGAGAGAGATCTCCCATGTCACCTAAGTTCATTTCTTCTAAAAACTAAAATGATCAATTAATGTTTGTATAAAGCAACTAGAAAATGAAAACAGGAAGTGAAGTAATCATTAGCAAATCAAATGTTTCACATTTTTTGTTGTTATCCAGAAACACAAACCTAATATATATAAAATGCTAGTCATATAACTTCGTACGTACCAAATGAACACTGCCTTCATTGTAGTTCGAAGCCGCACATATTGTGCGATTTAAATCAGGTAAACCTTCCAACTTTGACTTTTTCTTCCGCCCTCTCGCCACGCCGCAAATACCAAGTCTCAACGCCAGCTCATCTCTCCTCTCTTATAGACTTAAAACATGTTTTTAAAAAAAAAAAAAAAATTGAAACTGAAATGATCAATCGATCTTGTAAAAGGTCACTAAAACATGAAAACCTCCACCAATTCTAACAACTAGCAAATTAAAATTTCCAACTCCACTTAAGATCCATCATCCCTCAGCAAGTCTTCTATATAAACATTTCCACCCCTCAAAGGAAAAAAAGAAAAAAAAAAAAAACCCTCCGAACAAAGATCTAAGATCTCAAAAATGTCTTCAATATTTGGATTGGTACCTATCTTGGCCGTGGTGGCCATACAACTCCTCTTTATACGCAGTGTTTCTTCCATGAACCTCACCAATGCGTATTTGCACCACAAATGCAACAACACCGAAGGAAGATACAAGCCAGGGAGTGTGTTCGAGAAAAATTTCGACATGATCCTCCATACAGTTGTCTATAACGGCAATTTAACCGACGGGTACCGCACCTACCAAAAAGGTAAGGATCCCAATATTGCCTTCATCAAGTTCCAATGCCGTGGCGACTCCTACGGGTCCAAGTGCCGGTCTTGCCTAACAACAGCCGTCTCTGAGGTAAACTATCATTTCAATATTATTTATTTAGCAGTCACATACAAACACATCATATTCTTTTTTTTTTGGTGTATTAAATCTTAGATACATATCTGATACTGTACGTAGATGGTTGAATTAAGACAAACCTAATTAATAGACATTTAAGGCTAGTACAAACATTACTATATATTATACGAAAACTAAGCCATGCAATACTGTTCTTGACATATGACAGCTTCGTAAGAGATGTCCAGGAAACAAGGGGGCAATTATATGGTATGACCAATGTTTTTTTAAGCTATCTACGAAGGATTCCCATAATAAGATCGATTACGAGAACGATTTCTATATGTCTAACGCGAACAACGTGAGCGGCAATCCAGAATTGTTCAACAGAGAGATTTCGGATCTCCTGAAGAAGCTGACAATAAAAGCCACCAATGAAAACATAGTAGAAGGCAGCAAAGGATTGTTTTACGGGGCGGGGGAGACAACGATCGGGACAAAAAAGATTTACGCAATGGTGCAGTGTACGCAAGACTTAGTGTATAACAGTTGCTATGCGTGTTTGGAATGGATTTTCAGGAAGTTGCCAGAGTGCTGTGACGGTAAACGAGGAGGAAGAGTTTTGGGTACAAGCTGTAACTTTAGGTATGAGTTTTACCCTTTTCTTAGATATTAAAGACTGTACGGGGAGAGCTCTATATTAAATAAAAGAGGTCGAGACTCGAGAGCCAAACACGGTCTTATATATACATGTTGTGTTGTGTTTGTATACGTGATTTTATCGAATAAGTTTACCTTCTTTTTGATTTGTACCTTCTTATTCAACGTAATTCATTCAAGAGACCAGTTTCTACAATTACATGTTATGATGTTAGAAGTGATTCAGGGGAAACGAGACATGAGAGAAGCTCACTGGTATTAATTAGAAATTTTATAACATTAGCATCGCCGCATGGGGCACTTGCCCCACCTTCCTAGAAAAGTAGATCCGCGCGCTCACTACATTTTTAAGAAAAAAAATTATTAATTATAAATGCTGGTAAATCATCTATTAATAAATATTCAAATTTGAATTAAAAAATGAAGTAAATATAAATAGTGAAATTTGTGCTAGTGTTTTGATTGTAGTACTATTCTTTTTTATTTTAACTGTATTATTACTATATTTCGATACAACCAGCATGCATATTATTGAAAAAGCACGAATATTACCAAGCGGCCAAGCCGTTCATTTTTCCAATGGTTAAAGGATATATGAAATATCCACATAAGCATAAAATACTTCTGTAGAATGTATTATCTCATAACCCTGGAAACACGTACACGTTCATTTTTTTTTTTTCGAAGCCGAGAATACATTGACTTTGTCCATCGGCCCTCCCCTTCCTTCGCCGAGAATACACAACTCCTCTCTCCTGTCTGTTTCAGACAACAGTAAAGAAAAAAAAACTTTTCTTCTACAAACTTAAATGATCAAGCGAATTTTGTATAAGGTAACCAAAGAAGAATAGTTTTGAGTTACTAGGGAAGGCAATCAGCTAGAAACTCTCCGAGTCTCCTATATAAACAAACATCCCAATCTCAACGCTTCATTTGTCCAAAAAGAAATTTAAAAACCTAAAACAATGTTCTCTTCACATTTTCTATCCAAACGCCTCATTTCTGGCAATATCTTAGCTGTACAACTCCTCCTTATACTAGGCAGCGTTTCATCAATGAACCTTACCAATGAATATTTGCACCACAATTGCCTCGTCACTCAAGGGAACTATAAGCCTGGAAGCAAGTACGCTAAAGACCTTAACTATCTCATCGAATCCGTCTCTCTCCTTGAACTTAAGAACGGTTTCGTATCTATGACTTATGGCGAGGCTCCTGATTCCGTTACCATCGTATTTCAGTGCCGTGGTGACTCCTACGGGCCCAAGTGTCGCTCCTGCTACGCCATAGCCGTCGCCGGGGTAATGTCACTCCAACACTATAGTCATATATAAAGTAAGTAAAACTCGTTTAAGAACTTAAAAATATAAAGAATGACTCTCTTTATTAGCTTAAGAAAATCTCTCAAAACTTAAGCTCCCAAAATCCTTAAACTCATAAGTTATGCAACATCTTTGCATCTCCTTATATAGTGGATTTATTCCTTTTTCTATTAGAATAGCAACTTTCCTTTTCTTAGATAACTCCTAAGTATGTTTAGATAACTCCTAAACAATTTTCTAATTCTAATAGAAACATTCATGTTTATCTAGAACCTTCTAGAATGTTTAACTTCAAGCTTAAGTCAACATTCTCCCCCTTAAGCTTGAATTCTTCCTTTGAAATCTCTTGCACTCCAATAAGATCTCTCATCTCCTTGAATCTGATCCTTCCCAAAGCCTTTGTTAAGATGTCCGCATTTTGTTCATTACCAGAAATGTGTTCGACTTCTATCTGCCCTTTCTCAACACATTCTCTTATAAAGTGGTATCTTGTATGAATGTGTTTGCTTCTTCCATGGAACACTGGATTTTTTGTAAGTGCAATAGCTGACTGGTTATCAATCCGAATGAGAACCTTCTTACTTACAGAGTCTGTGATTTCGCCAAGCAAATCCTGCAGCCAAATGGCTTGTCGTGCTGCTTCTGTTCCAGCCATAAATTCAGCCTCACAAGATGATAAAGCTACAGTTTCTTGTTTCTGAGAACACCAGGATATAGGACTCTCTCCGAGATAAAATATGTGACCAGTTGTGCTTTTACCATCATCAGGTTCGACATTGTGACTGCTGTCACTGTACCTTATTAGCTTTGGAACTCCAGTAGTTGTTCGTTTAAATATCAGTCCATAGGCCGTAGTCCCTTGTAAGTACCTTAAGCAATGTTTCATCGCTGCACAATGAGAATCCTTTGGCATCTGCATATATCGGCTTAGAACGCCCACGCAATAAGATAAGTCAGGTCTTGTGTGAAGCAAGTATCTCAAACAGCCAACCTTTTTCCGAAACTGAGTAGCATCGACATCCTTTTCGCTTTCTGCTTTTGATAACTTGAGACCAGGATCCATCGGAATATGAGCCAAGTTGCAATTCTTCATCCCAGCTTCTTCTAGGATTTTCTGTGCATATCGTCTTTGGCATAACGTGATTCCTTCATCTGTCTGACTCACTTCTATCCCAAGATAATATGTTAATTTTCCGAGATCACTCATCTCGAAATTTGATGCCATCTGTTCCTTGAACTCGTAAATGTGCCTTGTGTTTGTTCCCGTAACAAACAAGTCATCAACGTAAACGGCGACTAGAAGAAGATCTCCTTTTACCACTCTCTTGTACACCGAAGGTTCTTTAGAGCACTTTACAAACTTTAAATCTTTGAGAATCTGAGTCAGCTTATCATTCCAAGCTCTTGGTGCCTGTCTCAATCCATAGAGTGCTTTGTTGAGTTTATAAACCTTATCTTCACTTCCTTTCTCCTTAAACCCTTCAGGTTGAGCGACATAAACGGTTTCTTTTAATTCTCCATGGAGGAAGGCCGTTTTCACGTCCAAGTGATGTATTTCCCAGCCATGAGCCGCAGCAAGGTTAATCAGAAGCCGAATTGTCTCAATTCGTGCTACAGGCGCAAACACCTCATCAAAATCTATTCCGTACCTCTGCACGTATCCTTTTGCTACTAAACGGGCCTTGTATTTATTGATGCTTCCATCAGAGTTTCTTTTAAGTTTGAAGACCCACTTCAATCCAATAGGCTTTGCTCCGCTTGGAAGATCGACGAGATCCCAAGTGTGATTTCTGTTAATTGATTGTATTTCATCTTCATAAGCGCAAATCCATTCCTTTGATTCCTTGGCTTCCTCGAAATAATAGGGCTCATCATTCAAGCACATCAACAATCTTTCTCCTTCCTCCTCGCTGGTTAACACGAAGTCCTCAAGATACTTTGGTGTTACTCTTGGTCGTTGTGACCTTCGTAGAACTGGTGAAGCTTCTTCTCCATCATGTTCTTGTGTTCCCTGATCACTTTCTGAGATAGTATCTTCATCTTCGCTTAATTCGTCATGCTCTGTTTCTTTGTGCTCTGTTCTGGAAGTATCAGACTCTGCTTCTTCATCATCGACACTTTCAGTCTCTGTTCTTTGAATACCATGATTTCCGAAGTCTCCAAAACTTATTTTAAAACTTCCGAATTCATCTGTACTTGAACCCGTTTGATTCCAGTTCCATCCCTTTGTTTCGTCGAAGACCACGTCTCGACTTACCACCACTCTTCTGGTTTTCGGATCAAGCAATCTGTATGCTTTTGATCCTGGTTCTGTCCCCAAATGTACCAACATCCTTGAGCGATCATCAAGTTTCTTCAAGTGTTGTGCCTCAATCTTTGTGTAGCTTATACACCCAAATGTTCGAAGATGACCAATGTTTGGTTTCTTGTCATAGAACATCTCGTATGGGGTTTTGTTCTTGAGTGATCTTGTGGATATTCGATTCAGAAGATAAGTATAATGTCTTACAGCTTCTCCCCACAAGAAGTTTGGAACAAACATATGCTTTAGAATGCTTCTTGTCATCTCCATAAGCGTTCTATTACGTCTCTCAACAACTCCGTTTTGTTGAGGTGAATAAGGAGCTGTGAGATGTCGCTTTATCCCGGAAGTATCGCAAAAAGAGTTGAATTCTTGAGATACAAACTCTCCTCCTCTATCAGTTCTGAAAGTCTGTATTCTTTTTCCTGCATCTTGTTCCACCAAGCTTTTAAAACTTTTGAATTTCCCAAATGCCTCGTTTTTCTCCTTTAGCAATACTGTCCACATATATCTGGAATAGTCGTCTATAAGAGCAAACACATATTTGTTCCCTGCCGATGTCGACGGTGATATAGGACCGCAAAGATCCCCATGGATTAGCTCCAGTGATTGTTTTGCTCGAAAGGATGTAGTTTGAGGGAACATTCGTCTAGCTTGCTTTCCGAGTTGACATGAACCACATACTCTCTTCTCTATGGCCATACTTGGAATCCCTGATACAATCTCCTTTTGTATCATTATTTTAAGTGTTTCTAGGTTGAGATGACCCAATCGTGCGTGCCATCTACTTGAGTCACTTGTTGTCGTAGAGAATAGACACATAGTATTCTTGATCCCCATACTGACTTTATAGAGACGGTTTCTCGAACGAGTTGCCTTGGCTAGTAATTTTCCTTCACGATCGTGCATTACTAGGTATTCTCCTTTCATCCTAACCTCGCATCCAGCTTCGGTGGCTTGTCCGAGGCTGATGATGTTGCTTCTCAACTCTGGAATATAATATACATCGGACATGGTTCTTGGTTCGCCGTTCCTGTCAGTGAACTCAATAGTTCCCTTTCCTTTAATGTCAATACGAGAATCATCACCAAACCTCACTTTTCCAGTAACGGAATCATCTATTCTCGAGAAGTACCGCCTGTCACCTGTCATGTGATTGCTAGCTCCGTTATCTAGGTACCAAGTGTTTTCTTCACTAGAGTTAGTTTTATAGCTACTTGGTACGACTTTTCCTTCATTCAAGTACACAACTTCATGCATCATCAACTTGTCTGCTTCCTGTGTATCTGTAATGTCATCTTCTTGAGTTTCTTGTAGCTTCAACAATCGATCTGGACAGTTTGATGCAAAGTGCCCGGTTTTGTCACAACGGTAGCAAACTATCTTGGACAAGTCTCTTGTCTCATTTGTTCTGCCCCGACCTCTTCCTCTGTTGTAGAAGCATCCTCCTCGACCTCTGCCTCTACCAGTATGCTCATAGTTGCTCTTAGTATCGTTGTTTGCATACATGAGTTTTCCTTGATCCACTTGATCTTCTTCCTCCTCATGTATGCGTTCCTCATATGCCTTCAAGCGTCCAGTGATGTCTTCAAAGCTTGTGGTATTAAGGTCTAAAACTTGTTCAAGAGATGCTACCATATGTATGAATTTCTTCCGAGGAAGACTTTTAAGAAATTTCTTGACAAGTTTAGACTCTTCAATACTTGTTCCTAATGCCGCTGCCTTTGAAGATATCTCCGATAGCTTTCCGCTAAAGTCATCAATGGTTTCTGTGTCTTTCATCTTAAGCCGATCAAACTCTGCCATCAGCGTTTGTAGTCTAGCTTCTTTTACTCTTTCGGCTCCAACGTGTTTTGATTTAATCGCCTCCTAAACCTTCTTTGCTGTTTCTGATCCGCCGACTTGCAGGATTAAGGTTTCGGGAATTGATTGGAATAACAGAGCTGTAGCTACATCGTTCTTTTCTGAATCCGTCGACTCTGTTTCTATGATTTCCCACACCTTATGAACTTTGAGCAGTGTCCGCATTCGTATGGCCCATACTGTATAATTTGTAGAATTCAGCATGGGACATTGAATGGAAGAGACACTAAGTTCTTTAGGTTTGGTTATCGGAACAAGGTCTCCCATGGTTATTGTCGTTGCCTGGTTTGATCTTAAGGTCGCTCTGATACCAATTAAAGTAAGTAAAACTCGTTTAAGAACTTAAAAATATAAAGAATGACTCTCTTTATTAGCTTAAGAAAATCTCTCAAAACTTAAGCTCCCAAAATCCTTAAACTCATAAGTTATGCAACATCTTTGCATCTCCTTATATAGTGGATTTATTCCTTTTTCTATTAGAATAGCAACTTTCTTTTTCTTAGATAACTCTTAAGTATGTTTAGATAACTCCTAAACAATTTCCTAATTCTAATAGAAACATTTATGTTTATCTAGAACCTTCTAGAATGTTTAACTTCAAGCTTAAGTCAACAATATAAACTAATCATTTAATGTAAAAAGAAGTTGGAAAAACAAACATATCTTTGCATTGAAAAATAATTCATCTTCTTAAAAAATGAATAAAATATATGTGAATATGAATATGACAGCTTCGTAGAAGATGTCCGAGAAACAAAGTGGCAATAATATGGTACGACCAATGTTTTCTCCATGTTAATAAGATTGAAGTCCCAATGCAAACGATGGATTACGAGAATACTTTCTCTATGCACAATCCAAACAACGTGAGAGGAGATAAAAGGTTGTTCAACAAGGAGACAAGAGATTTCCTTAACGAACTGATCCCTAAAGCCTTGAAACCCAACGCTATCAACTATGTATATTACGCGGCAGGGGAGAAGAGACTTGAGGCCAATAGACTATATGCAATGGTGCAGTGTGCACAAAACGCACTGAAGTGTAAGGTGTGTTTAGAATCGAGTATTAGGGAGCTTTCCAAGTGCTGCGACGGTAAACAAGGAGCAAGAGTATATTTGGGTAGGAGCTGTAACGTTAGGTATGAGCTATATCCTTTTCTTCGGACCGAAAAGACTGTTTGATGATGATGTATAGAACACATCCTCATGACAAGTATTTTTTTTTATTTTGTTTTGATTTTGCATTTTTTCCACTTCTGTTTAATTTTTAGTTTACCTTTTTGCTTTCGTTTCCTTTTCTACTTTTCTTTTCTTTTTATTTATTTAGTTCTTAGTTAGACCTATTAATAGGGTCCAAAACCACGTTATCATTCACCCTTGATTTGATTATTAATAGGGAGACAATATAGCTTTCCTCTCTTCTCTTTTTTGTTTTCAGATAAGTTTTAATATAGTAAAACTTAAGAAAGTTTGGCAAGATGATATACAGTAAATCAAAATTTACCCGCATTATCAATACTTCTGCAACGTAATTTGATGAGATATGCATACTTCTGCACAATCTTGATTAGTTACGATATGATATGACAACCTCAATGCGTCTACCTGAATAAAGGAAGATTGATGAGAGATGATGAACCATAACAAAGTCAGAAGAAGAACTGTTGAAACCACGGAAATTGAATGAGAGAATACCTGCTTGCTTTTAACTTGTAGAAGGTGAAGAATATTATCGAACTAGCTTTGAGATCAAGTTAATAAAACTCACTTTTATTAAACTTTAGGAAAACTCAATCAAAAACCTAAAAGATCAAAAGTCAAAACTCATAAGTTATGCCACACATTGGCATCTCCTTATATAGATGTTTAGCTACTCCTAAACCTATTAGAATAAGGTAATTAGATAACTCCTAATTTCCTTTTCTTAGACCTAACTCTTTTAGGAAACATAACATAATGAATCTTCTAGAAACTTGCTCAACAAGCTTCTTCAAGCTTACTCCAACAATCTCCCCCTTAAACTTGAAATCTTCTTTAGTCACCTCCTTGACTCCAATGAGATCTCTCATCTCTTTAAACTTGGTTCTGCCAAGTGCTTTAGTCAGAATGTCAGCTTTCTGTTCTGTTCCCGGAACATGTTCAACCAGTATCTGCTCGTTCTCAACGCATTCTCTAATGAAGTGATACCTTCGGTGTATGTGCTTACTCCTACCGTGAAACACTGGATTTTTAGTCAAGGCTATAGCTGATTTATTATCAATCCGAACCACAGCCTTTTCACATCCTGATCCAATGACTTCCTCGAGTAACTCCTGCAACCATATCGCTTGCTTAGCTGCCTCTGTTGCAGCCATAAACTCCGCTTCACATGAAGATAGTGCAACAGTTTCTTGCTTCTGTGAGCACCATGTTATAGGACAGTTATTGATGTAGAAAATATGTCCCGAAGTGCTTTTCCCATCGTCTAAGTCAACATTATGACTACTGTCACTATATCCAACCAGACCAGATGCATTCGCTTCTATAAACTTCAAACCGTATCTTAAGGTTCCTCGGAGATACCTTAGGATTTGTTTTAATGCTATTCCATGGGATTCTTTTGGATTCTGCATATACCTGCTTAGCACTCCGACACAATACAAAAGATCAGGTCTTGTATGAAGCAGGTATCGAAGACATCCTATGTTCCTCCTGTATTTCTTTTTCATCGATGCTTCTTTCTTCAAGTGCCTTACTTAGATTTAAGCCCGCATCCATCGGTATATGCACAGCATTGCATTCGCTTAACCCATTTTCTTCAAGTATTCTCTTTGCATAAATTTCCTGGTTTAGTGTGATGCTATCTCCTTGTTGCATCACTTCTATCCCAAAGTAATATGTCAGTCTTCCCAAATCACTCATCTCAAAACGCTCTGCCATGCCCCGTTTGAACTCAAGAATTAATTTCAAAGAAGATCCTGTGACAAGTAAGTCGTCCACGTACACAGCTACAACAAGAAGTAAACCCTTTTCTTCTTTTCGGTATAAAGAGGGTTCTTTCGAACACTTGCTGAACTTCAACTCCCGAAGAATCTGATTGAGCTTGTTGTTCCAGGCTCTTGGTGCTTGCCTAAGTCCATAAAGAGCTTTGTGTAGCTTGTATACTTTGCCCTGACTTCCTTTAACTACAAATCCCTCAGGTTGATGCACATAAACTTCCTCCTTTAATTCGCCATGTAAAAACGCTGTTTTTACATCAAGATGATGTACTTCCATCTGTTCGAAGCGGCTAGTGCAATGATAAAACGAATGGTTTCAATTCGTGCTACGGGAGCAAATACTTCATCGAAGTCAATACCAAACCTCTGCACATAACCCTTTGCGACAAGCCTCGATTTGTATTTATTTATGCTCCCATCAGAGTTGTGTTTTATCTTAAACACCCACTTAAGTCCAATTGGTTTTGCTCCAACTGGAAGATCGACCAGGCTCCATGTTTTATTCTTATTGATCGAAGCTATCTCTTCTTCACATGCATCTCTCCAGACTTTTAACTCTTTTGCTTCATTGTAGTTCCAAGGTTCTTCGTCTATCGCAAGTAAAAGACGTTCCCCTTCAATTTATGCAAGGAGAACGAAGTCTCCTAGGTAACCTGGTTGTTTTCGTGCTCGCGATGAACGTCTAAGAACAGGTTGATCAGATTCATGTCCTACGGTTCCTTCAGTCTCATACTCGAGACTATCGCTAACATCGTTTTCTTCTTCATCATCGATGCTTTGATCATTCCCTGTTTCTTCTGTTTCATTCAATCTTTTATCCCCTGTTTCGCTGCTTCCTCCATCTCTTAGAGCAAGAGTAAATGTCCCTGCATCGTTATTAGCATGGGTTCCTGAATTATTCCACTTCCAGCCCTTTGTTTCGTCGAAAACAACATCACGGCTGACAATTATCCTTTTGCTCTTTGGTTCTAAAAGCCGATAAGCCTTTGACCCAGGCTCTGTTCCTAGATGAATCAGTTCTTGTGATCTATCATCTAGTTTCTTTAGGTGAGGAGTTGTTATTTTCGCATACCCAATACATCCGAAAACTTTTAAGTGTTCGATGTTAGGCTTCTTCCCTTTAAGCGCTTCATATGGAGTTTGCTTCAACAAAGTCTTTGTCCCTACTCTGTTTATGATATAGGTTACGTGTCTCACAGCTTCTCCCCACAAGAAATTTGGGATTTTCATATGTTTCATGATGCTTCTTGTCATCTCCATAAGTGTCTTGTTCCTCCTTTCCACTACTCCATTTTGTTGAGGGGAGTATGGGGCAGTTAGGTGTCTTTTGATGCCTGTATCTTCGCAAAAATCATGAAATTTTTGAGACACAAACTCGCCTCCTCTGTCAGTGCGTAGAGTTTGAATCTTCAGACCAGTTTCTTGCTCAACAATCTGTTTGAACTTCTTAAATCTGCTGAATGCTTCACTCTTTTCCTTTAGCAGAAGGGACCACATGTATCGCGAATAATCATTTATCAGCACAAAGATGTATCTATTTTGTGCTGCTGTAGCCGGTGTAATCGGTCCACAGAGGTCGCCGTGGATCAGTTCAAGTGCTTGCTTTGCTCGATATGAGGTTCCCTGTGGGAAAGTCTTCCTCGCTTGTTTACCGAGTAAACATGCAGAGCAGGTTTCCTCTTCAACTGCAATACTTGGTATACCTGTGACTAAATCATCTTTGATCATTGTCTTCAAGGTGTTTATACCAACATGTCCAAGCCTTGCATGCCATTTAGCTGAATCGCTTAAGGTTGTAATCTGCAGACACTTACTGTTTTCCACCTCCATTCGAACCTTGTAGAGCCGGTTTCTTGATCTTTGTGCTTTTACTAGTAACTTTCCATCACTCCCATAAAGTGTTAAGTAGTTCCCTTGCTATCACATCCGGATTCCGTAGCCTGCCCTAGACTGATTATATTACTTCTGAGATCCGGTATGAAATAGACGTCTGCAAGAATTTTCTTCTCACCATCCTTGCTTACAAACAGTATGGATCCTTTTCCCTTGATGTCGATACGAGAATCATCTCCAAAGCGCACCTTTCCCGTGACACTTTCGTCAATCTTTGAGAAATAACTTCGGTTACCTGTCATGTGATTGCTAGCCCCGTTATCAAGATACCACATGTTGTCTTCATCGGAAGTCATCGCAAATTTGTCTGGCCTCACGTTTTTCTCATTGAGAAATACTACTTCATGCATCATCAACTTCTCTCCTTCGTGTGTGTCATCATCATTGACCTCATCTTCCTTAGTCTCTTGAAGTTTCAGCAATCTATCAGGACAACTTGATGCATAGTGTCCCATCTTGTCACACCGATAACAAGTAACTTTAGACAAATCTCTTGCCTCATTGGTTCTGCCACGACCTCTTCCTCTGTTATAGAAGCGTCCTCCTCGACCTCTGCCTCTAGATTCGTTACTGTAGTTTCGGTTTGGTTGTGACTCTGTATTGGTGTACATCAATTTTCCCTGATCTTCTTGTGATTCCTCATCTTCTCCTTGAATTCTTTCTTCGTAGGCTTTCAAGCGCCCAGTAATATCCTCAAAACTGGTGGTGTTGAGGTCTAATACTTGCTCGAGTGAGGCCACTATATGTATGAACTTCTTCCGGGGTAGACTCTTAAGAAACTTTCTAACAAGTTTCGGCTCTTCAATGATTGTTCCCAATGCTGCCGATTTCGAACATATTTTGGATAGCTTTCCACTGAAATCGTCTATGGTCTCCGTGTCCTTCATCGTTATCTTGTCGAACTCAGCCATTAGAGTCTGTAGTCGAGCTTCTCGGACTCTTTCTGCTCCGACATGCTTTGCTTTAATGGCGTTCCACACTTTCTTAGCCGTATCGAGACCGCCGATTTGTAGAACAGCTGCTTCGGGTATTGATTGGAAGATCAGAGCCATAGCGATGTCATTTTTGTCTGCATCGTCTGACTCTGTTTCCACAATATCCCATACTTTGTGAACTCTGAGTAATATGCGCATCTTCATCGCCTATACGGTGTAGTTGGTTGAATTCAACATCGGACACTGGATTGTCGATGTACTCATCTCCTTCGGTTTTGTGATCGGTACGATATCTCCCATGTTTTTTCGAACTTAGTTTCTAGGTTTTGATCGATTGGTTTTAGTGGCTCTGCTACCAAATATTATCGAACTAGCTTTGAGATCAAGTTAATAAAACTCACTTTTATTAAACTTTAGGAAAACTCACTCAAAAACCTAAAAAATCAAAACTCAAAACTCATAAGTTATGCCACACATTGGCATCTCCTTATATAGATGTTTAACTACTCCTAAACCTATTAGAATAAGGTAATTAGATAACTCCTAATTTCTTTTTCTTAGACCTAACTCTTTTAGGAAACATAACATAAAGAATCTTCTAGAAACTTGCTCAACAAGCTTCTTTCAAGCTTACTCCAACAAAGAATTGTGTTGTTTCTAATTTTTAAAAAGATTTAAGTGCCAACAAGATAAATAAAAAGAAAAGATGTATTACGGACTTACGGTTTATGTATGTAAATAGGAGAAGGTTCTTGAGCATTTTCAACATATCAATCAAAGCAAATCGTTTTATTATCCTTCATCTCGAGCGTCAATTTTCTTTTAAAGTTATTCTTCAGTTCTCTTATTTGCTACAAATTTATGTTTTGCACAAATAAATTTAATATATGTGTTAATGAGAAACAACATTATATGGATAGATTTTAGTTTATTTACCCAAAACTACGTGATCAATACTATAATGTCATCATTCTTGTGCGATCCTTAATTGATAGAGACATAACTCAGACAATTTTTCGAGCTTTTGACCTTTTCATCGGCCCTCCCCATCCCTCGCCGTAATTACACAAGTCTCTCATGTCTGTTACAGACACACACACACAAAAGAAAAAAAAAAATATTTCTTCTACAAATTGTAATCATCAATCAACTTTTGTATAAGATTACCCGAAAAGAATATCGTTTTGAGATAATTAGTTAACCTATCTACTCACGAAGCCAATCATAGAAAGATCCCAGTCTGACAATCTCAACGCTTTAGTTATATATTTTTTTAAAAAACAATGTATTCTTCATATTTTCAATCCAAACGTCTTGTTTCTATCCATATATTGGCTATACAGCTCCTCCTTGTACGCAGCGTTTCATCCCTGAACCTTACCAATGCGTATCTGCACCACAAATGCTTTTTGAATCAAGGGAACTATAAGCCTGGAAGCAAGTACGAGAAAGACCTCAACTCCCTCATCAGTCACCTCTCTACCGGCAATTTTCCGGACGGTTTCGAACACATGTCTAATGAAGAGGCCCCTCCCAATTCCGTTAACGTCATAATCCAATGCCGAGGTGACTCCTACGGGTCCACCTGTCGTTCCTGCTTTGCCACCGCCGTTGCCGAGGTAATGTCACTTCAACATTATTAATTAGCCTTCACATATTTACCTATCGTGTGCGACCGTTATTATCTTTTAATCAGAATAGTAATTCATTATTTATTGTAAAACTTCTTAGGGAAAACAAAACATATCTCTTCATTGAAAAGTTAAATCTTCATTTACAATGAACCAACATAAATTGATATGTACGTATGACAGCTTCGTAGGAGATGTCCAAGAAATAAAGGGGCAACAATATGGTACGACCAATGTTTTCTCGATATTGGTACAATTAATTCCACCCCAAGGAAAATCGATTACCAGAATACATTCTCTATGCACAACCCAAACAACATGAAAGGGGATAAAGAGTCGTTCAACAAGAAGACGAGAGATTTCCTCTCCAGCCTGATTCTGAAAGCTGATAAGGCTGAAGCAAATAGCACCAACTTGTTATATTATGCGGCCGGAGAAATAAGCCTTGGTGCGAATAAATTGTATGCAATGGTGCAGTGCGCGAAAGACATAGCCCGTTGCAAGGATTGTTTGGAATGGAGTATCAGACAGCTTTCCAAGTGTTGCGATGGTAAACAAGGAGCGAGAGTTTTGGGTACGAGTTGTAATCTTAGGTATGAGATATATCCTTTTCTTAGGACTTAATTAAAAGACTGTTTCGAATCTTTTTATACTTTTATCTTTTTCTTCTCCTTTGGTGTGTCTTTCCCTTTTTTTTTTGTCAAGGTGCCTATGAATATGGTCCAAACACACAGTTATCCCTCTCCCACAGTTATCCCTCTCCCATTAACTTCATTGGATTTATTAATAAAGAGTTCTTCGATCTCTTCTCTCTCTTATTTTTAGATAATTTTTTCAATATATAACAAACTTAAGATGGTTATATGAAATGTTATAAAATAATTAACATTATCTTGCTCTTTTGCATGTGGCTGTGATCAATCATGCACAATGATAAGTCATAGTGATCTGCAACATAAATTTGAGTCGTTAAATTTTTCATGGGCGATTTAAAGTTATACGCATGATCGCTGCAATTTGTGATATAAAATCATTATAAAAAAAATGATCGCTGCAATTTGTGTTAAACTATTAGTTTTGCTATTGTTGTAACATGTTATTTTTTTTAATTTTAAATATGAATGTATAAATGAATGAGAAAATCTATGAGATTACACATTTAAAATGATAATATGTAATTTATGGTTACACTTTTAGTTTTGATATTGTTGTAACATAAATATGAGATCATAAACTTGTGAAATTATACTACTCTTGGACCCTCAAAACACGTTCACAGAGAGTGAAACATATGAACTTTGACTTCTTCTCCGTTCTCCCCATCCCTCGCCGAAAATACATAATCCCTCTGTCCTGTCTATTATCGAGAAGAAAAAAAAAAACTGAAATGATCAATCGAGTTTTCTATAAGATAACCAAAAAGAACATTGTCTGAGATAATAGCTACTAATGAAACCAACAAGATAAAAAATCCCTCTGAGTCTCATATATAAACATACCATTCTCCAAGCTTCATTTGTTAAACAAAAATAAAACACCCCCCACCATCTGGATAAAAAGGAGTCAAAATCTAAAACAATGTACATGTACTCGTCATATCCTGTCTCCAAACGCCTAATTTCTGTCTATATTTTAGCTATACAACTCCTATTCGTACGCAGCGTCTCGTCCATGAACCTTACCAATGCGTACTTGCACCACAATTGCCTAGTACGTGAAGGGAGTTATAAGCCTGGAAGCAAGTACGAAGGTAACCTCAACCATCTCATCGAAGTAATCTCTAACCGTAAATTTAATTACGGTAACATATTAATGTCTTATGGTGAGGCTCCCAATTCTGTCACAATCTTATTCCAGTGCCGTGGCGACTCCTACGGGCCCAATTGCCGCTCCTGCTATGCTACCGCCATTGCTGGGGTAATGTCATTTCAACATCATCAATTAGCCGTCACATTTTTACAAATTGCATAATGGTTGACCAAAAAAACATTTTAAGATCGTAACAAATTTTGATTTATATATAGCATTCGAAAGTAATATAACTGGTAGAGATCATATAAATCATATTTCAAAACAGAATTTGTGTTTCAGTTATTCTAATAATATTTTTTACCAGAAAAGAAATCTAAAATTAACAGCCTTCGTACTCAAAGAAATGATCATAATTTCAAACCAAAATAAATTAAAGAAAAGACCCAAAAAAATCAATGATATATAAATAATCTCCTAGTACAAATAGAGAAAGAGAGAAAAATGAATTATTAGGTTTCACACAATATATACAAACGTTTCTCCCGGGTCGTAGGTTCTTTCTGGTTTCATGAAATAAAAAAGTTTGGATTTAATCAATTTGCTATCGTTTTTGGATAAATTTACCATCGTTTTTTAGATAAATTTACCATCGTTTTTTTTTTAATTTACCATCTTTTTTTATTATACGTTGATTTTATTTTACTAAATGGTTATATATAAGGAAAATCTAGAAAACATTATATATCTCTACTTTCTTAATCACTTTAGTAAAAAAAATTAGGAAAGTTAAATCCACATATTTGCATTGAAACTGAAACAAACCATATATCATATATGCATGTATTTATGACAGTTTCGTAGGAGGTGTCCAAGAAACAAAGCGGCAATAATATGGTACGACCAATGTTTTCTGGATGTTGGTACGATCGAAACCCCATCCTCAGCGATCGATTACAAGAATACGTTCTCTATGTATAATCCAAACAACGTGAATGGGGATACACAGTCGTTCAACAGGATGACAAGGGAGTTCCTCAACGAACTTATGCTGAAAGCCATTATACCAGACGGTATCAACTTGGTAAATTATGCTGCGGGGGACAAAAGGCTTGGGGCAAAGAGATTGTATGCAATGGTGCAGTGTGCGAAAACCCCTGTGGAATGTAAGGTTTGTTTGGAATCGAGTATCAAAGAGCTTTTCAAATGCTGCGGTGGTAAACAAGGAGCAAGATTGTATTTGGGTAGGAGCTGTAATGTTAGGTATGAGCTATATCCTTTTCTTAGGGCTGAAAATACTGTCGGATGAAGATGTAGAACATATTCTCCTGACAACTTTTCAATGACCTTTAACCTTTTTTTGTTTTGTTTTCTACTTTGCTTCCTTTTTTGTTTGTTTGGGCCCTAGCCATACCCATGAATAGGGTACAATATATTGATTTTAGTTGTACGCTATACGCTGATACACATGAATAAACATCCGTTACAAACCCCCCCCTTTCACAGTAAACCATTACCTAATGTCCAATATTCCCTCTTAATATTCCCGGGGAGACGCACTACAAGAAAATGTTAACAGATTTTTCTGATGACCCAAGTCGTTGATGTTTTTTTCAACGAATATCTCACAAAATTCCGTTTAAAATTAATTTAGTTGGATACACGTCACAAAATTTCAACAAATATAGCTCAAATCGCTGTAATACAAATCTGAAATGATCTCTAAATGGATTAAGGAAGAGTGATACTGAAATGACTAATTCTACATGGATCGAGGAAGAGGTGATGCTGAAATGATTAATTCTACATGGATCAATAAGAGATGAACCATAACAAACTCAAAATAAGAATTGTTGAAGCCACGGAAATTAGACGAGAGAATAACTCCTTGCCTATCACTTAATGTACGTAGATGCACATCCGTGGTTTCTAATTCTATACTTCCAATTTTTTTTTTTTTTTGCTAAACTATTTTCTAAATTCTCTTAAGTTATATATGGATCATGTGTGTAATTAGGAGCTTCTTGAGCATCTGCGACATATCATTCCAACCAAAATTAATAATAATGATCTTAATTATCCTCCATCATCTCAAGTGTCATTTTTCTATAAATTTTGTTCTTCAAATATCCTTTTTCTTGGACAAGAAATCTTATTTGTGGTATTATTGATATATGTTAATACGAAACAAAAAAAGGATAGTTTAGAATTTTAAACAAAAACTTAAAAGTTTGATATTTTAGACAATATCCCGATTTTTAATCAATAACTACGTATCAATGCTATATGCATGCCTTCATATTTTTGGTCAACTATATTTTTATTCTTGTGCGATCCTTAAAGAATTTACTCAAACAAACCTTCGAACTTTGACTTTTTCCATATGCCATCCTAATCCCTAGCCGAAAATACAAAACTCCTCTCTCTTGTCTATTACAGACCAAAGAAAAAAAAGACACTTCTGCAAACAAAAATGATCAAATCCAGTTTTGTATAAGGCAGCCAAAAAGAAACATCGTTTTGAGACAACTAGTTAATCTCGTTACTAAAAGAAGCCAATCATGTACTCTTCATATTTTCTATCCAAGCGCCTCGTTTCTATCCATATGTTGGCTATACAGCTCCTCCTCATACGCAGTGTTTCATCCCTGAATCTTACCAATGCGTATCTCAACCACAAATGTCGCGTCAGTGAAGGGAAATACCAGTCGGGAAGTAAATATGAGGAAAACCTAAACTATCTCATCAAAACCGTCTCTATTAATTTGCAGAATGGTTTCGAGCACATATCTTATGGTGAGGCTCCCAATACAGTTGCCTTCATATTCCAATGCCGAGGCGACTCCTATGGGTCCAAGTGTCGTTCATGCTATGCCACCGCTGTGGCCGGGGTAATGTCACTTCAACATTATTAATTAGCCATCGTATATTTACATACACTGGATGGCTAAGAAAACACTTAATATTGTGATTCTACTTGTTATAATTTAGAATAGTATAAACTAGATAACTATAATAAATGTTATGTTATGTGATTTCAAACAAACGTGAGTTAGTTTGATGAGAACAATATTGTAATATATATTTGAAAAGCTTCAACTAAAATCACTTACATATAGTTACATATATATATGAACTTATGCATAATCTATTAATTTGGATTTTTAAACTCATTGAGAAAGAAGTTGTTATTTTTCCCCAAAACTAAATTTGATCAAGGCCTTCTTCAAGTAAATTGTGTGGTTCTGCTTCCTTTACGGTGGCATACATGACTGATTCTATGTATAAATTGGCCTATATGGTAAAATATGTATATATGCATCTACTTATAAATATAACACTACATAAATAGAGTACTAATTGGTAAGTTGTAATGATACATAAACTATATATGTTTGCCTGTGACAGCTACGTAGGAGATGTGAGAGAAACAAAGGGGGAATAATATGGTACGACCAATGTTTTCTCGATGTTAGTACGAGCGATCAACGAGCTCCAAGGAAGATCGATTACGAGAATAGGTTCTCTTTGCACAACCCAAACAACATAAACGGCGAGACAAAGTTGTTCAACAAGAAGACGGAGGATTTTCTCTACAACTTGATCCCGAAAGCCACCCGTTCAGCAGGGGAAGGAAACGAACCTATATATTATGCGGCGGGGGAGGAGAGGCTAGGGACGAAGAAACTGTATGCAATGGTGCAGTGTGCGAAAGACATAGCCTTATGTAAAGATTGTTTGGAATTGATTATCAGGGAGCTTTCCAAGTGCTGCCAAGGTAAACAAGGAGGGAGAGTTTTGAGTACGACCTGTAATTTGAGGTATGAGTTATACCCTTTTATTAGCACCTAAAGCATGTTTGATGGCGATGCTCAAGACATTCTCCTGACAATTATGTGACTTATGTCATATGGATAACTAAGGTACAAGATTTGTTATTCTTCACCCTTTAATTTGGTTATTAATATATAGGGAGACAATAGCTTTTGTTTCCTCTCTTTTCTATAATTTTTGGATATTCTTTTAACGAATCTAAGAAGTTTTATAAACTGATATACAAAAAAATCAGCATTCACCTCGCATTGTCAATATTAACCACCTCGGGTTGAGGTCTGAATAAAACATATTCTCAGACAAATGTAATTATAAACCGGAAAGTGGGGATTCTGTTTAACAAATGTTGGGTTAACCACATATTAAGCAAAGTAAAGACCACAAGTTTTATTTAAGGTAAGTCTTTCAGATGAAGAACGTAATCGCGAAGAGCAAGAATTAAGGGAGTCGGTGGAACATAAGAAGATTTAGTGTTGCATTGGTAACAAATTCAAACAATTCCCTTAGAAGGATTTCTGAGCTTCCCATTCTACACAACTCAGAAATCAAGCGACAGAGAAAGTTTGAAGGTACGTTCTATAAAGATCTTGAGAAGGAGGACTAATCTAGTGGTTTGCTGGTCTAGAGGCTTTGGAAGCTAGCTTGGCTAAGATAAAGTAGGTATTTGTGGCTAATTGATGTCACCAAATTTTTTTTCTTTTTTATATATTACTTTCGATTATTCCATCAAAAGTTGTACTGTTTTCGCTTTAATGGTTAAATGGTCTTTTGCGTTCTTAGTTGAATAGTTATCCCATTTTTTTACTATAAACATGTTTGATTATTTGTCACTGATGCATGCTTAAGAATTCGTCATTGTCGAAGTTTTTTTTTTACCATAAACACGTTTAATTCTTTGTCATTGATGTCATTAATTTTAGGTCGGCACCGTACGTATCGTGGATCTGAAGAGTTTCACTCAGTCAAATCTTTGAACGTTGACGTTTTCGTGGCCGCATGTATCAAGTCTCCCAACTCCCTCTTTTCCCTTAGGGATATTACAAAAACAAAAATGCTGTTTTGACAATTTTGTTTTATCTAGAATCTAATGGAGCCAATCAGCTAAATTGACTTTCGTTTTCTTTTTTTTTCAAAAGGAACATTCAATCTTTGAAAATGCCCAAGTCCCAATCGTACAAAACTGAACACTTCAACTATTCTAATAATTATTATATAAATAAATAGATAAAAAAAAAACAAAAAAAAAAACTTAATACCACGCAAACTCCAAAATCGTCCAGCCACTATATATAATCATCCCAACCTCAACACTTTTTCCATCAAAGAAACTCTCCCAAAAGAAAACTATTATAAATCCTAAACAATGTCTCCATCCTCCCCACTAAAAGGCATCGTTTCAGTCTCTGTATTGGCCTTAGCCATACAACTTCTCTTTATACAAAGCGTTTCGTCCCAAAGCCAAAACAATGCGTTTCTATACCACAAGTGCTCTGACATTGAAGGGAACTTCACGTCGAAGAGTCCGTACGAGTCAAACCTCGACAGTCTCTTTCGTCGTATCTCTTACAGAGTTCCATCCTCCGGTTTCGCCGCCTCCTCCGCTGGTAATAGTCCAGACAACGTCAACGGATTGGCCCTTTGCCGCGGCGATGCCTCTTCCTCTGACTGTGGCTCCTGTCTCGCGACCGCCATCCCTGAGGTAACCTTAAGATCTTTACATATTAATTACACATATAAGTTTTGGTTACATCTCAAAGACCTATAGAAACCGCATAAGATCATAAGCATTGACGTACAACCAAACAGAAAAAAAACCGTAATAACAAAGTCGTTTATCAGTGTTATTTTACATTTCCATGCTATTATTTATTAATATTTAAATTATAGAATACAATTTGTTAATTAAAGATTGTCCATATCGACAAAACGAGTCATTTTACACATTTCTCACAAAACACATTTTAGACATTACCCGTTATATTAAATATACCAATATTGTATACCAATAATTAAGTGATGATGATTTGAAATCTAAAATTTATTAACTTTGATAAAAAGGATAAAATATGGTTCAAATGTTATATTGAAAGCTACAAATAAAAGAACCCTTACTATGTAACAAAACAAGTAATAGACAAAAAATCAATTCTTAAAAATTGGAAAAGGAAAAATATTTTATGATCGAGTTTGAGGATTTTTCTTGATGTTGGTGTTATGTGACAGTTACGTCAGAGATGTCCCAACAACAAAGCAGGGATAATATGGTACGACAACTGTCTAGTCAAGTATTCCTCAACCAATTTCTTCGGAAAGATCGATTACGAGAACAGATTCTATTTGTACAACGTCAACAACGTGAGCGATCCTGCATCCTTTAACACGCAGACAAAGGCTCTATTAACTGAGCTAACGCAGAAAGCGACTACTGGAGACAACCAGAAGCTGTTTGCGACAGGGGAGAAGAATCTGGAGAAGAAGAAGCTATACGGACTGGTGCAGTGTACAAGGGACTTGAGGAGAGAGAGTTGCAAGGCGTGTTTGGATGGGATTATTGGGGAGCTTCCTAATTGCTGCGACGGTAAAGAAGGAGGGAGAGTTGTAGGTGGGAGTTGTAACTTTCGGTATGAAATTTACCCTTTTGTTAAGATTGCTTGATTAGAGGTCCAAAATAAAAGTGTTCCTGAGCCAAACGTACTGTCTTAATTTATTATTGAAGCTAATGGGATATGTATAGAAATGTATTATGTTTTGCTGTTTAACAATGTGTTGAGCCAATAAAATGTAAGTCTCTTCTTAGTATATATATATACTGAAGCCTTCTTCCAACGTTTGTAGATGTAATAGTATACATGTAAAGTTATACTCTATTGGTGTTTAATGTAATGGTTTCAACCCACAGAATTTAATAGCTTTTAGAAGTGATGACTTAAAAGCAAACACTATATAGTCTTGATAAGACAGCAAAGGCTGAAATGTTTAACCGTTTCTAATGATATCTATATATTTGTTCGAAATATGATAGACAACTTAATTTTCTTAATTTTTTTACCAATCATTAGTAGATGGGAAAACGAAAAAAAAAAAAAAATCTTTTCTGTTTGCTTTCGAAAAGATATTTCATAGAACCCCATGTATATTGTGTGTTAAAAAAAAAAAGACGCCAAAGAAATGTATCGTGTAATAAAATATGACCGAAGTACCATCTATTTTTTAAGAAGGAGAAGAAGTCATCTGGGTTTTATATGTTTACTTTTTCTTATAGCGTAACAAATTGACTTATGTTAGTCTATAAAATATAATGTAAATTTAATTAAAATATAAGAGAATATTATGAGATGCTGATTGGTTTTTGACTAAATAATTCAAACATCAACGGATAACCAGCAGAAGATATTGGTCACATGTGCTCTGCTGAGTCAATTTGATGAGGACAGGTCAACGAAGGTGGTGAACCACATTGCTCCTTTTTTTCTTTAAGTGGGCACATTGCTCCATTTCTTTCTCCTAATCCTTTGTTTTTGCGTAAGCGACGTCCACCATCACCGGTTCCAATCATACGCAAAATATCTTGAAAAAAAAATATTCAATTTTTTCATATCAAAATAATACACTGAGAAAAAAAAAGTATAGTTACGAATTCTGAAACTCTATAATATCAACACACACACAAAATAAAATATAAAAGTAACCACATTAAGTAAATAGAATTCTATCGAAATTTTGGACTTATGTTCATGATTTTCATATAAGGTAAATGTCGTCTAAAGGATTTCTCATTAAGATATACTCAAGTAAACTATAAAAGTTTGTATAGTTATGCATTATTGGTCAAATCAAAGGTAAAAGCCAATAGTCATGTTTGACTGTCTGTATAATGTATACTACATAGTTTGACTTGATAACTATATAATTATGTTCAATGATAAGGTTGCTGGCACTCCACGAGTCCGGAGTATAGAGATCGGTCCTTATCAATAATGTGGATCTTTTTAAGTAAGCATAAGATCATTGAATTTAAAATATAACTATTCGTTCTCCAGAACTAGATATGCTTTAATAGTTTAGAGAATCCATTAGTTTGGGTTATAATGAATTAATGACTTTAATGGTTTAATTCGTTCCAAAGATACAGGTAGAGCGATCATGAGTTTTTCGGAAAACGATGGTGCATGGAAGTATGGAACTTGACAGCCCTAACCACTTCTTTGTTTTGGTTTTAACCCCTAACAAATTTTTAACAAAATCAGTTTTTTTTTCTTTTTGTCATCAACAAAATCAGTTTTGACGATATATTTTTGCTGAAAAGTTTGGGCCAGGGATTACATATTACTTAGTGATGTTGAAGAACGGGTTTCAAATATGAGAACTATTTTTTGGAAATACATTGATTGAAAATTCTTCTAAGCCCAAACCACATGAATACTTGTATCATTACCTATTCCACTTGATGAGGAATTATGTAATAAGGGTCAGCCCAAATATTTGTAAGACGATTCAGCGTCACAAATGTTGTTCAATTTAAAGGTTACCAATTCCAACAATGAAAAATGTTGTACTAAATCAAGTGAAAGTGGACTAGTGGTTCCTACTTGATGAGAAGTTGTCTTGTTGGTCTATGTCAATGATCGATTCTCATTAAGTGTGGAATTATCAAACAATTCTCATTTGCTTAGTCGAAATAGTGTTGTATTCAGATATATTAAAAAAATCGGTAAATAAGCTACTTGATGTTTACATTCACCTTAAAGGAAATACCGAAATAGTATGGCAGTAAAAACTCGGATTATCCTGCAGTTATAGAAAAATGGTGTCACATTAAAAACATTAACTAGTTAAAACATTGTTGTGTGGTTTACTTTTCTGCAGCTCTGCTGTCGTTTTGTAACCTTCTATCGTGGAGTTCACTTAATAATAGTGATCACAAAGTTTCCCACATTAATCACATATTCAAATACATTAGGTGCGTTTCAAGGTAAACGGTTAAATCAAGTTTTGATTTGGGACATATAGTAAAGCCCATGATAAAAAAAAAACAAATTCTTTGACGTTGAACAGGCCCATATTAAAACATTTAAAACTAATTAGCATTTAATACAAAAAAGTCTCATAAATGTTGCTTCAGTTACCAAAAAATGTTGGTTCATCAAGTAAAAGCTCCAGACTCCAGAGACACTCTTGTAAAACAGTTAATGCACCAACAGCTCAACCAGAGGTCTCCTTCTGATACTAATAGTAATAAATAACATTTCTAAGAATTCAGGTTTCATATATGCAAATTTAAAGAATCTCTTTGGTGTCATATAACAAATAAATAAATGTTAAAGTGTTTTTTTTTTTTTTTTGACCTCAAATGTTAAAAGTGTTTAAATAACACCCAGTTTACTATCAATAAAATATGGGAAGGAAACAACAGGAATGATAAAGTAAAGCAAAAAATGAAAAAGGGTACGGAACAAAAGACTAGAATTTTGCAAAGATGAAGTGGTCAAAATTAGTCAGACAAAATCCATGGGATTCTTAACCCATTGACCCACCTCTTGTCTCTTGACCCCTCCTAACTCTGTGTTTTCACAGTTACATTTGAATTATTTCAATGTTAATAATGTAATATCCAAAAAGTAATTATATAGTTTACCAGCCAAAAAGGAGATTTGACTGGTGACCGCTAAGACAATGATACTCTCTCTTTTAAGTAAGGCCTTTAATTAACTTAGAAGCTAAAACAAACAAATACTTAACTAAAAAAACAACATTATTTCTTTGTCATAAATCCTATGATAAAGATTGATTGACAACTCACTCCCCATGGGATAACTGGAAATTAGTAAGACAAAATATGTGTGTTAACATTCGATCGGATCTTTCTTCCTATATGGTGAACATCACATAAAGCCTCATGAAAATCAGAATAGAAGTTTCAACTTGATTTAAAGATTGACGATTAGAAAATTTGATCTAATTAGAAGAAGAATAAAAACAAACGAATCAAGATCAAGAACAAGAAAGTGATGAGAACAAAAAATGGCGGAATTTACAAAGGTATAGTCAAGTTTAGTCATTGACCAGCTTAGCATGCAAAGGAGCGGGAGTGTTGACGACGGAGCTCGGCGGATTTAATGGCGGAGATGCCGACACCGTCGCTGGAGGCGGCGGCGCGATTGTTGTCTGCAGTGTAGGCGGAGGCGGTGCGGTGGTTGTATCAAAATCCGGCGGAGGAGGTGAAAATTGCGGCGGAGGATTCGGATTAGGCGTAGAAGGAGGCGGAGGCGGGTTCGGGTTCACGATCGGCGCCGGCGGATTTGGGAGAATTGGAACAGACGGGTTTGGTGATGATGAATCTGATGGAGTTGGTGGGGAAGATCCAAGAACAGGCGGGTTCGGGTTTGGATTCGGGTTTGGATCAGGAAACGGAGTTATAAAAGGGGAAGTGGAGGAAGAGGAAGAAGAAGAAGAATCGGCGGAAGGTGGGCAATAGTCGCCGGAGCAGTGGTGGGAATGTCGACGGAGGATACCGAAGCCAACGACGAGACCAATGACGACGACGACGGTGACGATGAAAATGAAAATCTTGGTGGCTTTTCCGACATAGCAGAGCATTGTCGCTCGGCGTTGTCTGTGAGGTTTGGATATTCAGAGAATCAGAGGATCGGAACAACAAAAATTCTCCGACTTTTTGGCTGTTTTGTTTTTTGGGGTTTTTTTAAAAAAAGAAAAAAATTGTGAGTGAATTAGAAGATTACAGATGAGATGGGATTCGGATCTATCTTTCGTCTTCTTTATTTTCACAGTGATTTTTGTTTTGTTTTTAGTTATTTAACTTATTTTCTTTTTAGCTTTAAGAGATTATTGATTTTTTTTTTTTTTTTTACTCGGTTGAAGTGAGGGGTAATGAGACATGCCGATGGTGGGAATAAAAAGCTAGGATGGCCACGTGAAAGGCAACATCGGCACGTAAATTATTAAAATTTATTGTACCTTAGTTTTTTTTTCTTATTAACCAATATTCAATCTCAAAATTTCCTCGTTACCTACAACAACAACAAAAAATAGTTCCTCGTCACATATTTAATATATATTTTTACGATAAGGTTGTATGATCCGAAGTCCGAACTCGATATCGTATTGTAGAATACGAGTTTGAAAATTGTTTCGCAAGAATCAGGCCAACATCTTTACATTTTACCCAAAAAAAAAAAAAAAGAATCAGGCCAACGCAACCAGATAACAAAGATCATCTAATCCAACTGAAAAGTCAACTGTTTTTTTTTACTGGGCCGAACCCTTGTCCTATTTTACTCCTTTTATGGAGTCGTTTAATACATCAAATCGTGTATGTATGTATACTTTGTAAAATGCTCGTTTAATTTGCAATTAGCAGAATTATTTCCAATTTTTCGTGGTTGCAGATAAATTCTTATATATGAGTTAACTGCACAAAATTGAGATTAAAAGAATCAAATGTTATGCTTCTTTAATTTATTTTAACGTTTTCTATTAATTGTTTAGCAGGCTGACTTTTCTAAACTCAGTTTTTCAAGTCAACTCATATTTGAGAATTCAATCTGACGATATTGAGAAATAAATCTACCAATTATAAATATTTGAGGAATTAAATAAACATTCGTCCCTTCTGCTTCATTTCTGCTCTGCACAAATTCTCTTGGCTTTGAGATAAGAAAGAAATATAAAGCTATAGTATCCTAATTGAAATGTATTTGAAAATGGCTCATTAATAGGAAGCGTTTTGTTTCTCTTAGTTTGAAAATGTCTCTTTTTCTAGTATCAACCTTTTAAGGCTGGCTACTACTAAGCGTAAGAGAGATTAGAAGACTGGTCCTATTACGAGCGTACTAGCAAGAAAGTTCCTAGACCTAATCCTAACAAAAGGGGAAAACGACTTACCCTATCAATAAAGTATAATGTAGATAATAAGCATCAGATCAATATCATCAAAACTGAACCCTACCAAGAAAGCTCCAAGACCTGATCCTAACGAGAGGGGAAGGCAGATTCCCTAGTGGTGGAGAAGCACCACCGGAGACATGTTGTGAGTCATCCAAAAAGAATCATTGGAGTTGCCCAAAAAGATCAATATTGTGATGATTGATGTGCTTCGAAACCAAATCTGTAGAATGGCCAAGGGAAGGATATAATTTAGTAATGCAATAGGAGAAAGCTCAGATTCTAATCATTTGAACAAAACTTTGAAAATGTGTCGACATAGCTTACTTCAATATCTTCAGCAATCACAAAATGAATTTATTAAGCAAATTTCGCAACTTGTCCCACCTCAAACTGAACCGAGTTCCTCAACTGATTTTTTTTTCTCCAATAAAGTCATTAAAGAAAAAAGACATTTCAGTGCATAAGGAAAACCTGATAAAAGTGAATCACTTGAGAGTAAAAACAAAGGTGACTGACGGAAGTGGGAGAGCTTAAGAGGTAGGTGAGTAGTTAGTTGCAGAAACAACATCAAATTCGATCTCTAAACTCAAAGTGTCTACCTCGTCCATATAATCCTCCCGAAGCTTAGCCACTGACACAATTTTGTCGCAACCACAGCCTGAGTTTGATCCATCGTGCCAGGAATTAACTGCAAAAAAAAGTAGAGTATCTTTGAGCTTCCATGTTATTATACTCAAGGGAGCAAACTGAATATCACAATCTCTAGAGAGAGTTATATCTCATCTCATCAATATTGGTGTTAACTTAAGAAAGCTAAGACAGTAAGTTCACATACATTTCTCTGTGATGTGATCGTCTCCAAATGGATCTAGAACTCGGAGATGACCTCGCGTGTAAATCCTCTCATCCTTTATTAATCTTTCGTTGTAGGCTAGATGCAGACAAATGGATATCCATTTGTCATCTGATGATGTAGAGAAGCACTTGGGATACAACTTTAATACCCTAGAGAACATATATCATGCACATGTTATAAAACTCATACACATGCGCGCACACACACATAGGGATATTATATGAACTCACCATGTCTTTCCTCCCACAGAAAAATTATTAGATACGTAAACTTTATCTCTCAGCGTTGTGAAATGCTTGACACTCCAGGAGAATTTGGGAAAATGGAGCTTATCATTAAAAGAGACTACTTCCCAGTTGGTAAGGGGATAATCAAGCATCACATCAACACCAAATTCGCATTGATCTTCATCAAAGATGTATCCATTTTTAGGATCATTGAATATCTCAACCGGAAGCATTTGAGAAACTCCCCAAACTTTCTTCAATGCATTAAACCGCTTTACTTCTGTATCTGTAAGGATCGAGTGTTAGTGTGTGTGTGCGTGTACTATAAATCTATATATGGCAAATTAATGTAGATGTAGTAACAAGAAAGGGATTTACTGATATAGTTGACTAATTATATGCGAAATATATGAAGTGGACACTAGATAGAATTAATAGGAAATTGTACATACGTACCTTGAAAACAAAAGTATTTGTTTACTTTCTTGTTATAGACAAAGAAGGTGAGATATGCTAACGCCTCAGTTGTGCTGTCTATTTCAACGAACATCGAAATAAATCCACTTCCATTGTCCTTTTCATTCCCTTTTGGATATATAATCAATCTCCTAAATTTTTGCAAAAACAAGTTGCTTTCTATTCGTAAACATATCTAAGGTAATGGTTAAGATAAATCACCAATGAATATTAATTAAGTAAAGTACCAGTTGTAGTCATCTACTAAGAAACGACGAGATTGGTATTTTTCACCGATGAGCTGTGCGAGATTCTGGATTTTGAGTGAATACGAAGAATGAGGACGTTCTGACCAGAAGTTCTGCGAAGTTGTAGCATCTAATGCGAAGGAACACAACGACGATGCATCATCATCCGAAACCGTAACGACCATCCTTGCTGATCAAACCAACAAAAAACAACCAAGATATTGATTGTTAATAGTTATAATTATAAGGAGATAACAGCGGAAACATTCTATACGAGTGTTCAACCAAATAGAGAAAGAAAAAAAAGAACAAGAGAAACGAAAACGATTTGAGAGAAGTAATACAAACCTGAAGCGGTGAGAGAGACAGAGAACCAGAATCAAAAAGACAATCGAGACCTCTTAACTGTTAACAAGTAAACCCTAACCCTAGAAGTATACCTTCAGACTCTAACGCTTCCTCTTCTCGACGACTTTGACCTATCGGTAGAAATTCTCTCTGTTGTTTCTAATTGGGTAGATCAGTTTCCATTGATGTATTGGGCCAAAACCCACAAAAGAACATGGGAGAATGGTGGGCTGGCTGTAATTGTTTTTTTTCTTTCATTAAAATAGATTTCTTTGCAACCAAACCAATGACCATATTCAGAAAACATCATCAAGGTTAATTCCTTCTTCGTATGAGTATCGTATGTGCATTCGGCTCTTAATTTACTTTGACTTGTACAATTTATTTGGTGTAAAGAACACTCTTTTGGTTTTTAATCAATTCAGATTCAACACCATTTTTGTTTTACTCAAAAGGTAGTCTAGTAGGAATGCGTAATTATTAGTGAAAGTCTCAAATCGGTTGTACTTAAAAAAAAAAAAAAGATGATGCACAAGAAATGCCATTGACAACAAGAGTAGTAATCCGATTTAGAAGAAAGACTAGGAAAAATCACAAGTGAAGATTCTGTATGTTTGAAAACGAAATTGGTGATTAAACAAATCAAATTAAATTTATCTACGTACGATTCATGTATTCCTTTTTGTATTACAAAACTATAAACAAAAACTTAAATTAAAAACGAAAAATAAAAAATGAAAATATCAGTAAAGGAAATGGATATAAATAATACAAAACAAGAAAGCAAATCCATTAATAAAAGACTAAAACATTGCATTGTATTGTATTTAACTATTTATAATCATAATAGATGGATGGTAGATAATGGATTTTTGTAAAGCAGAGCTTTAGATGCTAGGAGAGTATTTGGTGGTAGAAACAACTACAATTTCAATCTCTACCTTCAAAGATCCCTCTTTGTCCAAGTAAGCCTTCCGAATTTTATCTAAACGCCCAAATTTACTCCAACCATAGCCTTTGTTTTCCTTTGTATACCAGATTTTGACTGCAAGAAAAGTGAAATATATAAGTAAAGATGCATATTAGCCATCCATATGTAGACTAATAATAAAAATGGTCATCATCAACAGATGAAGAAGAACACTAATTAAATGATCATTATTTAGAAATAGTTTCAGCATTAGATTAATGACGGGTAAAACAATAAGATAATGATGGAACAGTGTTTTAGTACTTACGTTTCCTATCTATGTGATTGGATCCATGAGGATCTAGAAGTCTACCACGTGCTAGGATGTAGATTCTCTCATCTGCGTTAAGTCCCTTGCTGTCAATTAGACGCAGGAACATGGACACCCATTTACCTTCTGCATGAGTATTGCCCTTAGGATACAGTTTTAAACCCTATAGAATCGTTTTAAACCCTATAGAATCGTTTTAACACTTGTTAACACTCATATAGATGCATATATTATAATAAGAAACATAAAAACAATCTTAGACTCCTCAGTCCTCACCATTCTCGGCCTGCTATTGAAAACCTGTTTGATGCGTAAAGATACTCTTCCAACTCAGTGAATTTCTTGAGAGTCCAAGAGAACTTAAAATTGGGATGTTTCTGATCAAAGGAGACGACTTCCCAATTGGTAAGGGGTGGAGCAACCAAAAAATCAACACCAAACTCGCAATGATCTCCCTCAGAGATATATCCGTTTTTAGGATCATTGAATGTTTCAAGCGGAAGCACTTGAGACAATCCCCACACTTTTCTCAGTGCATTGAACCGCTTCACGTTTGTATCTATAACAGTAAATACATTATATGTATTAATTGTTGATGAATAGAGACAAAGAGAAGTAAATGTATTAACTATATAAATATTTTGAACAAGAATGTGACCAGCATTGTATATGTGAATTATATACAAACCTTTAATAGTAAAGTATTTGTCTGTTTTCTTGTTGTAGACAAAGAATATGAGATATGCATACACCTGAGTTAGTGGTGTTGTCATGAGATTTTTGCTATCTATTTCCACATACATTGAGATAAATCCACTCCCTTCGTCTTTTGTGTTTCCTTTTGGATATATGACCAATCTCCTAAAAACATTCGTTACGAACAACATTATTTAGGCAAGGAAATATCGATTTCCATACAATGATGAAGAATTTCTTTGAGCGTCATGACATAGTTGTGAGTATACTATATCAACCAAACCACAAATAGATCAATAAAATCACAAGTCAGATTAAATATTACAGAGTACTAACTTAAGTACACAATTATTGAAAAAGAGTTGGATGGTATGTAAGTATGCATACCAATTGTACCCGCCGGCCGCGAAAAGACGAGATTCGTATTTGTCATCGAGTTGTCTGAGATTCTCAAACTTGATGGAATATGTGGAAGGAGGATGTTCTCTAAAAGAAGACGTCGCTGCATTCAAGTCTTTGTTGCTCATCCTCGATAAACCCTATGGAATCGGAAGATTTTGATAAAATATAGTGAACGAGAGAGACACTTAGCGATAAAGACGAAAGTTGAAAAGGAAAAAAGAAAGAAAAAAAAACGAGGGAGAGAGAGAAAACTTAGGGTTCCTGGCAGACTTACTAACCAAACTAGTATAGAAAGTTCTATGAAGAAAAAAAAAGAGTTCCTGATAAAGATCAATCTTTGATCGAGTCTAACATATATAGGTTTTCCTTTTCATATTAGTACAACTATTAAAATTGTTAATTTTCCTTTCTGTATATAAAGGTTTTGCTATTTAATAATATTTACTATTTGCTATTTACTAAGATTTACTATTAGACCATGTTTATTGCAAGCACCTCTAAGAAGTACTTAATTATTAATTTATTATTAAATTTAAAATAAGAACTTTGAATAAGAATCTTACACAAGAATAAGTTTATTGCAAAATCTCAAAATGGAGTACTTAAAAAAAGAAACTCAGAGAAAAAATAAGTTTAAGGAAAAGAAAGCTCAGAAAAAAAAAATGCCATTATTTTTGTACCAATCACAAATGGACACCTGTCTTGAGCAACCATCAAGTATCGATACTTGAAGTACTAAAAGAATAATCGATGCTTTTTTTTTTTGGTTTTTTCTTTTTCTTTTGGGCCCAAAATATTAGTACCCTTAATAGGTACCTGCGATAATTATGCCCTTAGTACTCGCCAAAACCCTAAAGGCATGTGCAATGGGAGAGATCTTCATGAATCTCTTAATCATTTTTATATTATTAAGATGTGTTTAGAGACCCAATTAAAAAACTTGCATTTTTAGAAAGTGCAATAGGAGAAATCCAATTAGATTTCTAAAAAAAGTTTATAATAATAATTTATTTTAAAGAAGGATTTATAATAAAAACTTTTATTAATACAGACTTAATACAAAACATTAATACAAACTTTTATAAAAAACTTATAATAATAATTTTATTAATACAGACTTAATACAAAAACATTAATACAAACTTTTATAAAAAACTTATAATAATAATTTTATTAATACAGACTTAATAAAAAAGCATTACAACAAATAAAACATACATTATTACATAAATTTTCAGTTTTTATTTTATTAAACTGTATATTACATGAAAGAATTAGGGGAAAAATTCTTTTATTTCACCATTTGTAAAAATACAAAGAGTGTAGAAGTTTAATGTAATAATGTTTTTGAAACCAGAAAAAAGGCAATCAAGCCTGAGGAGAAGACAAATGTTTTCAGAACATAGCTCTCCATGAATACCAAACTGAAACCAAAGTGGAGAAACAACAAGAAACACTTAACGAATCAAGAAGAACTTGTACCGGCACAAAATGAAGCAGGACCGGTTTAGCCTCTGCAGGAACTTTTCCCGCAAGTCAGGGGCTATCAAGAGATGTACATTGGCAACAGATGCAATCTCAAACACTACATTGCACAGTCTTTCTCTTGAGCTCATATCCAGAAGGATATCTGATCGTCCTCCTTGTTTCACAAACAACCCGTGTTTCTCAGTGAGATTCGCAGGATGTAACGGTAACGATTTCAGTAGCAAGACAAGACCACTGGCTTTACCGATGTGTGAAGCTGCATGATCCGCTGCTGTTGATCCTCAACTTCTCTTTGAGCATCACGGATTCTAGCTTCAACTGAGCGTTTTAGCCAAGGTTTACTGATGTTGTGCTCTGATATGGCCCAAGACAGAGCTTGTGCAGTGGAGTGGTTTATGGGTTTTTTGGTGTAGAGCTTGTCGATTGTTTCTTGCCACCAAAGTAAACGCATCAAGCCGATTTTGGGATCAGATGCAACATCCATGGCTCTTGCGGTTTCCACGTTGAAAGCTCGGAGCGCAAATGCGGCTTTACGCATCTCGGGTGGGAGCTCAAGTAGACAGAGGTAGTGATAATAGTCATAGTTTCGTACTTGTTCTCCTCTCCTGCAACCATATAAACCACAAAACAAAACAAAAGATCAGTTGATATTGACAATGGTTTACGTAAACAGTAACCAAAAATCAACTAGAGCTGATACTCCAACAATCACCATTCAATTATAAAAAAGTCGATAAGTCTCACTATTTCATAGATTCATGAACAAATGAAACTCATGCAGGAATTATAACGAACACCTGGTGGACAAAGCACTCAGCATTGGTAATTAACAAAAAAAACGATACCTCTAAACCTTTTTATTCAACCATATCATCGGAGACATAGAATCTAAACCCAAAAATCTAAACAAATTGACGAGACTCTTCGCTTACCTTCGCGAGGAAAACAAGGATCTCGAAGCTTTAATCCATCCATACTCGTCGATTCCACCAAGTGGATGATGAGAAGACATCGCCACCTCCGTCTGAAACACTCGGCGACGAAGAATCCCGATGGAATCGATGAGTCGCGGTTCGACAGAGAGAACGAAGAAAGGAGAGAAAAAATTTTGTCGGGTAAAAAAAAAAAGAATGACTACCCAAAACATAATTTTTTTCTTCTTGTTTTTTTGACCAATGAGTTTTTGACACGTGCAGCTCGAAAGACGTTTCTCCTAGCTCCAAATTTAGAAACGTCTCTCACTATTTTTTTGTTTTTCATTTAATTAATTAGCCTAAAAATAGGAGAGACGCTGCTTAAATACTCCGTTGCACTTGCTCTAACTATCCCACTAAGAAACAAACAAAAACGTATGTAACTTTTAGGATTGAGTGCGAAACGGATATCTTGGATTTTGGATATCCGTGATCCGTTTCGTTCTATTTGGATTATTATTTTTTTATTTATATCCATTTCGTAATTATCTGGATATCCGTTTTTCGGATATTCACCAAAAATCCAATATTTGTCGGATATCCAATCCGCTCTATAAATATGTTTAATAATAATATATTTAAAATAAAAAATTTCAAAATTTAGCCAAAATGACTAAATATTTTCTTTAAAAATATTTTTTTCTTAACTTATTAAGCTTTAATATTTATAATAATCAAATTTATCAACAAAAATTCACAAAAATTACATCTGTATATAATAATTATATAAATTATATAAATTATTATCTATCTACGTATACATATATATTTATACTGGAGTAGAGCGGATATCTGTCTTAATTTTTTTTTAGTATTTGCGATTTGCTCCGTTTTTAACAGATATTGAATTTTAATATTTGATTTTTTCCATAAAATTACAGATATCCGAATTTTTTGGATAGAATCGAAGCAAATCTAACGGATATTTTGTGCTGTCCTAGTAACTCCTTTTCATAGTAGGTTTTGTCTCGGTTACGCTTAATATATAAGGAAACACGATTAATCATCATATCGTTGCCTTCTTGTTATAATTCTCTCTCTATTTCGAATAAGCAGCAACAGAATGTTTAAAGCAGAAGAGTCATGCGTCGTATCAGATTCTACAATTACGAGCAAGTTTGGAGATCGTCCTCCTAGTACCTATTCTATGAAAATCCAAAGTATCTCTCAACTCCAGACTCTCCTCTCTGGTAATGACGGATACAAATCACGTACATTCTCTTCCGGCAAATACAACTGGTAATTTACTCTTGTAATTTAATTGGATATTATATATATATATATACAAATTTCTTATAAGAAAGTAAACTAATTTTTTCATCCTTGAGTAATATCAGGAGATTGGTTATATATCCAAAAGGGAACGAGAAGGACAATGGGACCGGATTTATATCCATGTACGTGGAATTTGATAGTACAAGCGTCGCCACGTCCACAGTTTTGGCATACATCACCTTCTTCATCTACAACAAGAAGGAAAATAAATACTATACTATTAAAGGTTCGTGCCCTCTTTATATCTTCCATTCACTTATATATGTTTATATATGTGTGTTTATTTATGAGAGTTGTATATGTAACATCAGATGTTGAAGGGAAGCAGTTCAATGCATTAAGACCGGTGTGGGGGTTTCTGCAAGTGCTTCCGCTTGATACATTCAATGATCCTAAAAACGGATATGTTTTCGATGGAGATCAATGCGAGTTTGGTGTTGATGTGATGGTTCCACTTACAAATTGGGAAGTTGTCTCCTTTTCTCAGAAACCCTCTAATACCAAGTTGTCAACAAATTCTCCAAGTTGAAAGATCATTGCTACGTATCAGACAAGTTCTTGATTGGAAGAAGGAATTGGTGAGTAATTAATCCCTAGTATTGCTATACAACAGTTTGTGTCTGGAATATAGTATTAGATCATTATGTTTTAACAATGTATGCAAATGTTTTTTTTTTGTAGGGTGTTAAAGTTGTTTCCTAAGGGCCACTCTACTACATATTGCAAGTCACTATCCATCTATCTGTATCTTGCTGATGGTGAAACAATCAAGGCAGGTGAGATTATTTACATCCGAGGGGAGTTGCAAATTCTCGATCCATTTGGATCCAGACACTTGGCAGGGAAGAGTAAGTCTTCGTAACAATATAACATTCACTTTTTTTTTTTAAACTAAGTGATTACTACTTGATGAGATTAGATAGATACTGTAATGTATATTCATAATTTATTAGAGATTACATTCTGTTTTATTGCAGTTAACTACAACTGTTACAACCCCTCCCAAGGTTTTGCTTGGATAATCACTCCTAAAGCTCAAGTTGAGAAGGCTTACTTGGACAAAGAAGGATCTTTGAAAGTGGAGATCGAATTTGAAGTTGTTTCTACCACCAAATACTCTGCATGAAGATCAACAAAACATCATTAATTAGTCCTCTCATTAACAGTTAATTATGTTTTATTCAGATTCTAGCTTTTATCTTAATTACTTAAAAAATTTATTTAAATTTATTTAGCTTTGGTTTGTCCAAACAAACAAAAATCATCAAAATGACTCTCTTTAATTGAGAGCTGCGAATTCCGGGTTGCGTTAAATTTTGTTCATGTTTCGGTTTAGTTTGGTTTTCATTTTGGTTCAAAATCAGAACCGGTTGAATTAATGTCAACTGGACAAATTAGAAAAAAAAAAATTCACAATTTAAATCAATTTCTGTTATCTCTCCCATTTTTCTTTATGCTTCACTATTATTTCACTTCCTTCAAAATCAGACTCTTCGTTTCTCCTCAAGTCTCTCTAGAAAACTGTAAAATCACTTCGAGCTCAAAACTCTCCACGACGATGGCGGTTCCGATCGATCTCCTCAACAACGCCGAATCATCCGATGAAGACTTCAGCGACTCCGAAATTTCCTATTCATCGGAAGACGAATCCATGGAAGACGAACCATCGGAAGACGAAACGTCGAATTCGGAAATCGCCAACGGAAGAGGTACAGATTTCACTCTATCTCCTTCTATCTCAGGTTTTCACCGTTTACTACTCTTATCAAGCTCGCGCGATCGTTAAGAAAATCCTTATGGTGTGTCCTGTTCTAAGAGGTTTTAAGCTTGTTGCGTTTAAATCTGGAAAAAAACTGATGCTAATTTACGAGATTAATCATGGAAAATCCTGTTTAATCGGAGAATCAAGGTTCATATCAACGTTCTGAAATGCGTTATAGTAGTGATTAAGAGAGTATTTGACTATTCATCTCTGAATCTGTGTTTTTCCGTTGCTGATGTTACAGAAACTGAGCGTGATCGTAGCGAGAAGGAGAGGTTTTGGGTGCAGTATCCTTATCTGAAGAGTTTTCTGAGCACCATTGTCGCTGAAGGTTTGATTCCTGAATACTTTGCATTTGAGAGAGCCAAGCTTATTGGTGATGAGAAGGCCAAAGAGTTGAATGAGAGAGTCAAGGCTTTGTCTATCATGTATCTCGAGCTGTTCAGCAAAAAGTGTGAGCTCGTTGCTTCTGCCATCACCGCAATGAAATCCGCAAATTGATTTGCTTTCTGGTTTTGTTTGAAATCGTCTTTTTTTGAAAAAACATTGAATCTTTGTGGGAACCTTTTATGATATTGTTGGTGACTTGGTGTGGCTTTTGTCCTCGGAATGCTTTTCGATGAAATCGTTTATGTTTGGTATTGGAAGATATCTATGGAAGAAGATGATCAAACGAGCCAAACAAAAAAAAATTCACAGTCAAGATCATATAGTTGTTCAAAGATATCCGAGATTTTTGTACAATGTTGCAAAAGATGATTGGAAAAACCTGAAAAATCAAAAGCAAAATGGCTTAATACTAACTATATCAAACTCTGATTTTCACTAGCCATTAGAAACGATATGTAGCTTCTATGATCAAAAAAGAAGAACAGAAAACGAAAACAGAGTACGAAAAACTTGGGATTGTTTGTTTTCATTTTTTTTTTTTCAGAGGTTTCTTGCCGATTGAGCCATCATCTCGACAGAAAGAAGCTGTTCATACGAGAAAACACAAACTCCGCGAGTGTAAAGCTGAGTTCTTGCTCCAGGAGAATTCGCGAGCACCTGTAGAATCTGTTGCCTCGTCAAGGATTTGAGCGGATCGGTGACTCCTCCTCCTCCGACTTCTTCTCCGACTTCTCCGGCGGCGGTGCAGTAGACGGATTCGAGAGGCATCCAACGGAGAGAAGCGATCTGAGACTGGAGAAACTTGACGTACTTGTGAGCCTCGTCGAGAATCTTAGCCAAACTCATTTTACTCTCCCACGGCATTAGCTTCTCCAGAGACCTGATTTTATCCGAGACCCTCCTTCGCCTGTCGCCACCGTACGTCGACTGAGAGAACGACGAAGACGACGTCGCCGGAGATCTGGATTTCGAGTAGGAAGACTGCGGCGACGGAGAGATGGTGAAGGTGCGTTTGACTACCGAGCGACGACGGCGAAGTTTCTCGTCGGGAAGAGGAGGAGCGAGGGAGAGAAACGGCGGTTTCGTATCGTCAGCGACGGCGGTTGTTGTCGTCTTCTCGAAGGATTTGAGGTGAGGCAAGTGGAGAAACGGTTCGTCGTCGGAGAAGAACTTCTCTAACCGAGTTGACTCAGTGAGTAGAGACAGAGACGAGTCGAGGAAGAGTGAGTCAGCTGCCACGTGTTCCTGGAGGTGGAGAAGGCCATGTTGGTCGGAGAAGGTGAATCCGCCGTAGTAGGGAGCGAAATCGGAAGAAGGAAAAGGAGGTAGAGACTCGAGAGGATTAATGGCGTAAGGAAAGTGTGTTGAATATGAATACTCCATGGATTCGAGCTCTTGAGGAAGAGGCGGTAACTCGGAGAGCGACTCGTACTCCATTTTCAGAGAGAGAGAGAGAGAAAGACGGCTACGATGAGGATGACAAACGATCTCGGAGACAGGAATATTTGTTGGGTAGTGAAACAAATTCTGATTTTACGGATTTTTGCCATCGTAAAGATGTTTTTTTTTTTTTCTCTTTTGCTGCACAAAAGGTATTTTTGGAGGCGTACCACCTCTCAGCTTTACACGTGTCATCTTCAAGCGTGACTGCCAAGTGCCAAAGCTTTCCTCGTAAATTGTTTCTTTTTTCATCACTATAGTCGTGTGACAGCGACAGAGTAGAGAAATTGTTCAAACACTAAATAAATTTCCGAAAATAGAGTTAACATGGTGCTTCGATTTTTTTCCCAATATAAGAACTAGTAGTATCGGGGGAAAATAGAGTGGACGATTACAATTCATGAGAAAGAAAAAAAAGAGCTTTAGCAACTTCTAAAATCTAAACTGTGCAAGAGTATCCGTTGAAAGGAAAGAGAGAAAAACAAAGAGATAAAGAAAAGTGGTTAAATAACCCCCTAAACCACAAGTGCAAGAGTATCCTGGTACCTTATTTTTTCCAGGGGACTGAATTAACTAAATTTACCAGGCTCGGTCCCTGGCCCGAATATTATGGGCATTAAGAAGAATATATATTATGGGTATTATGAAATTTTTTTTTGGATGAATGTTAAATTTATTCTAACAAAAAAAATTTCTATATCTTGGATGCGAGCATGAATGGAAAATATTTCCTAAGCTATTTTACATCATTTTAGAACTCTTTTAGCTAGTTAGTCGTTCGATCTTGAAGCGAACCACATTTGAATGACACTCGTATTTTTTGTCACCAAGCAATCTGATTGAGCTCAATCGATTTCTGAGACCCTTATCGATGATTTTGACAAGCCTTTTCCACTCCAAAAGAGATAGGTCATGTTTTCTATCATTTCTTTCTCTCCATATTGTGTAAACAGTCAGTTGAACCAGGTATCGAGTGATGAAACCCTTCACCTGATGATGTTGTGGTCTCGAGATCAGAGTGACCAGAAATTGCCAATCCGTAGAGAACTCTTGAAGCAGTAGTTCTTTTGTTAAATTTGTCCAGATCTTGTTCGAGAAAAGACATGAAAAGAACAAGTGGGAAACAGTTTCAACAGGCTCCTGACAGAGCACACATGTTGTAGAGATGTTTGGGTTCCAATATCTTAATCGGTTTTGAGGGTTCCGTAGTGCCAGCCAAGTAATGAATCCCAGCTTGGGACTGTGATGTTTGAACGAATCCCATTATGAACTTCTTAACAAACAAAAATATGTTTAAGTCAGTGATATGAGAAAACGAGGTCTCCATGTAAAGAGTGTGTGACCTGTGAGGGTCAGGGAGGGTGATTAAGGTCAGCCCTCAGCAGTCTCAAAAAGTTCACCTTTTTTTTTTTTTAATACGTATAGAGCTTATTCAAAACCCATGTTTCGGTTCACCTTGCAAAAATATCTCTGACGTAAACAAGTGTTCAAGCCATTTTACAGTTTTTTTTTTTTAATTTTATTCGCTCACCATTTTCAATTTCAGTCATAATGTTCTAAGTTTTTTTGAAGAATTCGTTGTTTATCAACCGGAGAATGTGAAGGCATAGTAAATTACATGAAATTTAGCGCATTTTAAAGACATGGCGACAAAAATTACGTAATCCGTAATCCATACGAAACTACGAATAACTTTAACGCATTTTAAAGACATGGGGGCAAAAATTATATTTTAACCCGGATGTAATGATTGTTTCGGATTGGCCCAATAGGCCCACTTAATTTAGCAATATATAATCATCTGTGATCGACGATTTAGGTATCATTTCGCATTTGAAAAAGGTGTTCTCGAAATGCATTTTATCTAGTTTAAAAAATAAAGGAAACAAATATGCAATTTTCCCAAAATTTTTGATAAAAAAGTTTAAACTTAGTATAATTACCCACATAACTACATATTACGAGCTATTAAGACTATGTTTATAAGTTATAACAATTGAAATTTCTCTAGGGACTATATAACTCGATGGTCTCTGCTTTGGCACTGTCCAGCACCACCTTGATTTAAATCCAGCATCTCCAATACGGAGTTAAATAGAATCATGCAAGATATACATGAACAACTAATTACAAGTGGAATCCCTTTATTACTAGTGTTATATATAAAATATAATATACATATATATCTGCATTTAACATTTAGGTTGGTGCCAATGATTATCCCTACGTTTCAGTGATAATCATTAATCTATAAAAGGAACAAAATCAGGAATCCCTCCACAACAATTTCAAGCAAAAGGTAGGAGAGGAAATGACTTGAACCCAAGTGATCCAAATCTCTAAAAAGAAAAAAGAACTAATACTAGTGGACCAATGCACGGATTAATATCAGTTTAACTTGACAACAAAATTGTCAGTCATTGTTATGCGCATTGGTGGTTTCATATATAGTTCCGTTGGTATATTGCTCTATTAAGTGGATTAAGAATTTTTGAAAATGAATTTATAAAGTATAGTAGTTGATGGGTTTATTTATTTCTTCTCTGATATACAAATGGTATAAGTGCAATTATCTTGGAAAAATGGTCAATTCGTACTCCAACACCAATAACTGGTACCATGTGAAACCTGTCTGGACAACTTTTAAAAATCACATTTTCTTAACGACTTCTCAATTTTACGAGCCATAATCTGAAACTTCAGAATTCACTGTCTAATAACCAAGAATTGCGAGCAAACAAATAAAAATAAAAACCAAAAAATTTGCTGAAAACCCAATTTTTTACTGTTTTATTGTGTAGTAATACCAAAATAACGTCACTAAAACGTAACCAAAAAACCTTTTTTTTCCTGAGTTGGAATTAGGTTATCCTAAAAAGATAAAATATACAAAAAAACAAAGATTCATGTCTCCATCGGAAATTCGGAACCGATTAGATGCTGACTTCTTCCTTCTTCTCAACCACCAACTCATGTTGTGTAACATTTATTGTTTCATAATGCCTCCAAATGCTAGTTTCTCACTGCTTCCAATGGCTAAAGCTCATTGTTGAAGCATGCATTTTCTTTGTTGCCACGGGTTGGTGCACAAGACTGTCACTAGAAAGTAGAAGAACAGGTAATTCCACAAGGTCTAAGATGCGATTACTTTAGATACACAAGAAGGTATAACTGCAATTATCCCCTTTATTATGTTCTAACTTCTACATCACGTGAGCAGTATTTGTTTATTTAAACAATAAATGGCTCGCTATTGGGCACTTAATGGGCCAGAAACGCCATTATTTGATAATAGTACCTTTTACTGAGGGGTAAAAGCGTCAGATAAATAAACTCACGTGATCCCCGTTCCATGGCTTTTTTTTGTCCACCACGTTAGGAGCTTCGGTGCATGAGCAGTTGAACACCTCACACACACACAGTCACACTTTTATTTTCGTTAAAAAAATCACATCACACTCTATCTTTTCTGTTGTGGCGGGCTGTGGCCCGTTTATTAAACAACCATTTTCTTGTTTTTTTTTAAAGATTATTTTCTTTTTTTGGTAAAAATATTAAGATTTTATTACCATTTTCGAATTTTTCACAGAATTACAGAGAATACAAAGAAAACAGATTAACCGAAAAAAAAATTACAGACAATAAAACCACAACCAAGATATAGCAGACACGAAGGCTAAGAAAACGGTTAAAAGCAAAACCAAACACGAAAGCAGCAATCTCACGCCGAAACACGGACCATCCTATTTTTGCCATAGTTCAAAAGAGCTAGAATTCTTATCCTTGTTGCCACGAGCATCACATCCGTGAGGCCAGCCCTCAAACCTCCGGGAAAAACGCCTACAGCTTCTCCAAAAACTAACAGGATTTCCGAAATCCATAACGGACTAACATGCATCTGTCGACAAGGGAGCCCGAGCGGGCAATTGAAGAGTCACCTCCAACCGCCATTCCCAAAAAGAACGAATCTCCTCAAGAACCAGCCCCCACAGCTACACGCTAGCCGCCACAACATATCGGCACCTCAACATCTCACGTCTAGAGTTGCTCCACAATCAACACCAGACATCGCCGGAGCCAACACAAGCCAAGACCTTAAGCACAAACGCAAAGCTACCGCACCTTGGTTGGGAACACACACCGCCGGAGAAACCTGGCCACACCGATGGAAGACGGCACCGGAGCTTCACCGCCAAAAGAGCTGCAAGAAACTACCGCTGAGCCACCCGCCTTGAGCCATCGCAGGGAGACACCGAAGGTGGAGCCACGCAAGGCGGGAGAGACGCGAGCCACCACGCTGAGCCACACAAGACAAGAGTAACCAATGACACCTTTGCCGGACTTAGGACCCGTCCTCAAAGTCCGATTTGTCGTCGCCGAAGACGAAGATGACTCATGTAAAGGCGCCACCACTCAACTGCCAAGGGGACACCGATTTACAACCAGAGGCAGAGAGGGACCAAAACGGGAGGAGAGGAAGACCACCCAACCACGCTAAAGATAGCGAGCACGCCACCACCGACAGAGAAGCTCACCGAGGAAACCGTCTTTTCAAAAACGCTGGAAAAAGAAAGGGAAAAGCAGATCTGGGCAGGAAGACGAGGCGGAAGAGGAAAGGAGCAGCAGCCACAGAGGAAACGCCCCTCCTCCACCGCAGACACCACGACCCCGTGGAGCCTGCGCCGCCGTCGCGCAAGGACCACCACCGAGACTCTCTTCACAGCTCAACCAGCTCCGACGGACCTTGAAGGAAAGAGAGACAGGAAACAAGACAAAACTAAAGGAGGAGGTCCGGCGCCGGTGCTAAGGGAGCCACCGGCGCCGGAAAATGAACCAGATAGACGAGATCTACTTTTTTGTTTAAAGAGAGAAGGGAGAGGATAAGGAAGAGAGAGAAAGGCAAGTGCGATTCCCTTAAAAACTATTTTCTTGTTATTATTATTCTTTCTTCCCTAAACTTTTTCCCCTGAATAGAGGATTTTCATTATTTTTTAGTGAAAATGTTGATTTTCATTATTTGTTATGCCATCTAACGTAACAATATACATGTGTTTGTATTTGTGAAAATTGATATAATATGTAATTGGTATAATGGTATTGATATTACGTAGGTGCATCAGCCATCAGGGCATGTCATCATCAACAACAAAATTTAAATATTCAGGGTTATGTATCTTTGATAAATTGCATCTCGATTTAGTTTCACTTTTCTTTTAATAATACCAATATACCATTATTTTAACTTCACTTCTTACTAATAAAACAAGTTATGATCACTCAGATTTATTTTAGTGTTAACCGTGGACGTAACGTTAAGATCCACTATCTATTGGTCACAAAAAGAAACACAACTTTAGTTTCGTAATTTTAAATTTCGATTTATACATTTTTAAATTTGTCGTATTTCATAAATCCTGCGTTAGGGACGAATGTTCAGGTCTTTTTTTAAATGGTTAATACAAACATATTTCTTGGATTTTTGGTAAACTCGCTGATGAACAGTTCGACAAATGGAAAACAAATAGTAGTATGCTTTTCGATTATTGGAAATTGGCTTTCGGACGTAACAATCGAATGAATTGTCCACTATGAGAGACTCACCATCCACCAATCGAGAGACTCCTTGCAAATCTTGTTTTTTTTTTGGTCAGAGCAAATCTTGTTTATATACTATTATAAATTAAACTTTATTTACGGCATTGACTAGTTAAGACATAATATTTAGACCATGTCCATTGAGAGTCCTTCACATCTTTTATTTGGGTTGCTAATGAATATTTTGAGTAAAATAATAAAAAAAAAATCCAAAATATAAGAGCTAACCTTTGCAAAAAGATTTTTAAGGTTGGCCCTTAAAAAATTGCTTATAAAAAATATTATAATATTCGTAAAAAGTAATGAAACCTTCTAATGTGAAGCATCTATAATATATATATAGACCACGGCTTTTCGTTAGTGCCTTAGTGGACTCTATCTTTCGTATAAATAAATAGCACCCTTGCATGAAAACATTACTGATATCCTTTTACAAAAAATTAAATTAATATATTACTGTCTTGATATAAAAAAGAATCAGCCCAATTGGAATGTTTCTTATAGCACAAAATTGGCATTAATTTAACATTATTTAATTTTCGGTCTAAGATTCGTAACTTTTTGGTTACTAAACAAATCTATTCTTCATTTTTTTTTGTTATTGATCAACATTCCAGCTAACAAGTGAGAATTCCATTTTATTTTTACGGTTATGCGGTTGGTAACTTGGTATTATACTTTGGTTAATGAGAATGAGATGCAACTATCCAAAATAAATAAATAAATAAAGACTTGATTAAAGAGATAAAATCAGCATGATGAACAAAGAGAGGAACATGGCCTAGAAAGCTTCACCATTTTGGCTTATACTAATTATAATTACCTGGAAAATAAAGGAAATGATTAATTACTGATTGATCAGCTGATTAAAAGGTAATTGCGTTGTCATAACCCTTACCAACAAAGTAACATTATGGAAAAACTTTATATTATTGTACGACATAAACAAACTATCCTTTCTCTTCTTTTTTTTCTTTAGAGAGAATGTCAGAATAGGTCGGTCTCCTCTCCTCCCTCTTCTCATTTGTTTCTTTGCATATAATATCTCAACATACAGTGTGTACGGAGTATAGTGACGTTTGTTTGGACACGCCTTTGTTGCTTGCTCTCTCTTTTCTCTCTCTCTAAATTTTCCATTTTTTTTTTTTTTTCTTCCCATGAAGAAATATAAACCCACCACTAATTTGTGAGTGCTTTACCAATTGACTTGACAGACATCAAAAGAAAAAAAGACTTATAAAATCTGACAATCAGAAAACCAACAAAAACTTCTTGCTCCTTTGCTCTTTGTCTTCTTTCTCTTCTTAGCATAAATCCACCTCTTCTCCCTCTCTCTTGCTCGCCTCTTTTACCACATTCTTTTTCTCTCTTTTCCTTTTGGGGAAAATTAAGACACAGAGCGAGAGAGAGAATCTGGTTCTCGTAGTGGGTTCTCTTGATAAATTTGTTTTTGGGTGTTGTTTAGTTTCTTTCTCTTTTTTGTTTTTGGCTATGGAAGCTTGCTCTGTTCTTGAAGTAGACATAAACGGAGAAGAAACTGTCTTTCTCAATAAGGTAACTCTTTCTCTCTCTCTCTCCCTCTCTGTCTTCTTCCTCTCTATAACAGACTCTATACACTAAATTAGGCTCAAAATCCAAACTTTAACCGTTTCTCAATGTTAATCTCACTTTTTCTTATCTGGGTCTCTCCGATTTTTCCTTATAGTTTTCTTGCCTTGAATGTTGATTTAAGAAAAGGTCATATGGGTTCTAATTTCTCCATCTAAAACTGTAAAAAAAAACTGGTTTTTATCTATATTTTAAAGACATTTGTTGTGTGTGTATTTTGTTTTGATTCTATGAACATATTATGGCTCACGTATAGTGTGTGACTCTCCTACATTCAGCATTTAATGTTCTATCACCGAATTACCTTAAAACGAGGGCACACAAGTTTCTTTTTTTCCTGTGAAACTAATCACTAATTCAGAAATCTATAACTGATTGTCTCTGAGTCTCATTGATCTTATGTCTCCATCACCATTTATTGCATTTTTTGTTCTTACCTTTCCTCTGACTTTCTCCAATATTCTTATGCAAATCGACAAAAATTTCACATTAATAGGATGATAAATCTTTCAGAAGATGTTAAGAAGTTGCTCTCTTTGCAATTTGCTTGGACACTATTCACTTCCCTTTTGTTCTCACTTGTGACTATGAGATTGACATTTTACTTACATGATTGAAGAGACACAGAGACGTCTTTGTAGTTGATATTTAATTCGATCCCGACTTGTAATAACTGTTCATCATTTTTTTTAACTTAATTCCTTCACAAACAGTAAAATGGCTTAAAGTTTAAACTTTTATTTTCTTGTGGGTCTTTCAAGATTAAATCAAATCTGTTACTTAACTCTGCAATCATATGACTTTTGGTTATTGGATTTTGTGTTTTGATTTCAGCAAATCATATGCAAGTATTCTGGAACATTCAGGAAACTGCTTGGGAAATCTACTAGTTCCAATGGTAATCTCAAGGTTATCTTTAATGATTTCCCCGGTGGAGCGGGAACTTTCGAGCTTGTATCGAGATTCTGCTATAACAACGGTCATTTTACTGTGATGCCTTCGAATGTAGTCTTCTTGCATTGTGCTGCTACGTTCATGGAAGTCCCTAAAGTCTTGCAAAAAACAAAAAAGTGTATGGAAGAGATTCGTTATTGGGCTTGGCCAGAGGTTCTTCTTGGTTTGAAACAGTGTCAAGAACTTGAAACATCGCCTGAAGCAGATCCTTTAGCCTCGATATTGATGGATGCGCTTGTGGAGAAACTGTGTTTAGCCATTGAAACGAGTCCCTCTAGTGCTGCTTCTGCTTGTTCACCAGATAGCAGCTTGTTTCGGTTTTCTTGTGACAGTAAAAGCACAGAGAGTTTCAAAAATAGCTCTGCTCGGTCAACATGGTGGTTCGATGAGGTTCTTGTTCTAAGTCCTCGTTTGGCTGAAATGTTCTTGAAGCTGATGATCTCGCGGAAATTTGACAATCTCATCATAAGTAGATTCTTGTTTTATTACCAGAAGGTCAAGTTTTGCCCAGCGTCTTCTAATGAGAAAAGAAAGATTCTTGAAACCGCCATTGATACGCTTTACGTGTTAGACCGAAGCTGTGTTCCTTGCAAGAGCCTTTTCGGGGTTTTGAGGCTCGCTCTTGGATTGAACATAAACAAAGGCAGTATGAACAAGCTAGAGCTTATGATTGGTCATCAATTGGATCAAGTAACACTTGACAATCTTCTTGTTCCATCTCCATTGAAATCGAGTCACTTGTACTATGTGAATCTCGTTCTTAGACTCACAAAAGCTTTCCTCGACGAAGCAAGAAGAGGATCACAACTGAAGAAAGTGGCGAGCTTGATTGATCAGTACATAGCTGAAGTAGCACCTGATCCTTGCTTGAAATCTTCAAAGTTTCTATCTCTCCTCACACTCATTCCAGATTCAGCTCGAGAATCTCATGAAGATATCTACCGTGCTATTGATATGTATCTCGAGGTACGTTTCAAATAATCATCTCAAACTCCATAAGGTAAAAGAAAGTTTTGGTCTTTTTACCAATGACAAAAATTCTTTGGCTCGTTCAGGCTCACGCAGGATTAAACAATGGTGAGAAACTCAGCTTGGTAAGAACATTAAGTTACGAGAAGCTTTCAATCGAATCAAGAGCACACATGTCGCGTAACACAAAGTTTCAAGAGATTGAGACACCAGATGAACAACAACAACAACAACAGAAGCAGCTCATACTCCATGTGGAGAAGGTGGAGATTTCAGGAGAAAATGAGAAGTTGAAGGAACATATTGAAGGGATTCAATGGAGGGTAATGGAATTGGAGAGAGCGTGTTTGAAAATGCAGAATCAGATGGAAGTTATCAAGAAGAGATCCAAGAGCACGAGCAGAGGAAGCAACAGATCGCTTCCTAAGCTCTGTTCTTGATTAGTAGTGTAGCTTATATTTGTACATAAGAGTTATAGAGAGAGCTTAAGGAGTCGGATTGTACTTACAATTTGTTTCTTATTTCTCAAAGTATTTATCTTTTCTTGTTTACCGCTTAAAGTGGTGTGTAGGGAAAAGGATCTTTTCAATGGAGATGTCGAGGTTCTTCTCCACACAAACAAAATGTTATGAGAAACTCCAAAAAATATACAGAATTGTGTTTCTATTTCTTCCTTAAACGTTACTCTTTTGTGATTCCAAGATTCTCATAGTCAAATTGAGTTTACGTAAAACTAAATCAAAACATATTTTTTGAGCGAAATCAAAACTTCAATTAACAGTTGAAATCTTCAACTCCAATACTTTCAGATAAATTCATAACATTGTAAAATTTCCAGTTTCATCGCCATAGTTAACTTCAAAGTTCAAACTAAAAGGAAAGATGTAATACAGAGAACTACAAAGATAGAGAAAGGAGACACAGCACCAAGCAGAGATAAGACTCGGCCATAGTTTAGTTCTCAAGATGATTCAGCCGCGGGTTGAGTCACACCGTGCTTCAGCAACAGCTTGGTGAGCGAATCAGGCGAGTGAACATGGTACTTAACATTCCCTGAAGGAGTCAGAAACACCTCAGCAAGCTCTAGCTTCTCAGATGTCAAGCTCGTACTGTCCATCGTCTTGCTCAGAACCTTCAAAGCAAGCTGGACCGCCTCTTCTCTGGTTGCATCATCTTTGTAATCTTGTTTCAGAATAGACTGAGCAGCCTGGTTGTTTGCTCCAATGGCTGCAGCTTTCCAACCACCATAGTTACCACTCGGGTCACTCATATATAGCTGGAACCCATAGTTCTTGTCCCATCCTGCAAAAAGAAACGAGACTCCAAACGGACGAAGACCACCAAACTGTGTGTAGCCTTGCTTTGTGTCACAGAGAGATTGAACCAGCTGCTCAACTGGCATGGGCTCTTGGTACATGAAGGTGTAACGTTGAGCTTGGACTCGAGCCGTGTTGATGAGTATGTTGGCGTCAGACATTATACCGGCCACGGCACAGGCAACATGGTCATCGATCTTGTACATTTTCTCAGTTGAGGTTGATGTTTGAAGAAGCTTTGAGGTGACTTTCTTCTCACCGATCAACACGACACCGTCTTTGGATAAGATTCCAATTGCAGAACCGGCGTTTCCAATGGCTTCCATAGCGTACTCAACTTGGTAGAGACGACCTTCAGGAGAGAAGATTGTGGTTCGGCTATCATATCTCCGAGACATCTTTTAACAACTACACCAGAAAGAATAACAACAAACGCATTGGTCTTAGTTTCATGCATTTTTTGTTTTAATAGATTCAAGATCAAATCCTATTCTTACAAGCCTAAGCTACTGGTTAACTGGATAGATAGCAATAAACTCAACGGTTTCCTGAAGATATTAAAATCAAATTTCTCAGAATTTTGACAGTAAAGAAAATGCATTGAAAACTTTAGGGTAGCAATTGATACTCAAATTTATAAGGGAAACAAAAAAATTGTAACAGTAAAAATCTGATTTTTCATAAACAAAACAATGGCAAACAAGAAGCATTGAGCTCAACTGATTCTCTCTTAAAGTTAGGGTTTCGACATCACAGAGATCTACTCGGCCGATTAATTCACAATAAAACCAGGCTAGTCTAGGTAAATATTCGACATTAGAACGAGAACAATTAGGTTTATCAATCGCTGTTACTTTGAGATCGAGACAAACCTTAGATATGAAATCACTGGAGGGATTTTGTGAAAGCACTATTGATCTAATAGAAAAATCGAAGACAATTAGCAAGTAGAAATTTAGTAGAAAATCACTTGATGATGCATATATAAGAGAATTACATCACCCAGAATCGCATCTAGCTAGGGTTTATCTAAATCAAAATTTTTTTGAAGATTTCATAGCAATTGCTGCGCTAAATACAGATCCAGCAACTCAAATTCTTTACGGGAAAACGAAGATACTCAGATTCGGAGACGAAAAAATGGATTGGATTGGAGAAAACAGAATGAGTAGAAGTTTACCTGAGAAGAATTGCTTTCACTTTCCCGGCTCTTCTTTGATTTTGCTGAGAATTTGCTCGATAAAAGGCGACCTGTGAGATGTGAACTTGTTCTACAAGACAGACAAACAAAAAGCTCTGCATTTTTAATTGGGTCTTAACTGCTCCAAGCGTGTACTTATTCGATAGGCTGAGAGCCCAAATATTTAAAATTTAAGCCCAATATAAGATCATAACTCGGAGTTTCGGACATATACAGTAATTATTATCACATGGATGTAATATACGTATACGGTCTAACAACAAGAATAATTTCTAATTACCAATCAGAAGTTCCAAACGAAAAATCAGAAAACTTAATTCGAGTTTAACGAGTAAATTCGATGAAAGGCTATTAAAGAAGAAGAAAAATAAGAGGGAAAGCTAAGCCACTTTAGCATCTTAGCTTGAAGCTCACTAAAATTTATATGTAAGATTGGAAATAGGGAGTCATTTCTTTAGGGATGTTATTATGTTAACTAATTCTAAACAATCCGTTTTACAAATTTGACATGCTAATTTTTTATAATCCAGGATTGGAGTATATATAGGGAAAAGATATACTTCATTTTTGACATCTAACGTTGAAAAAAATCATTAGGCTTTGACTTGATGAAGTGTATACCAGTATACGTACTTCTCTCTACGAGCCATAGCATCTTATAACCTGGCGTTGAAGATCTAAGAATAATAGACTTTGACTTGATGAAGTGTATGCTTCTTTCCACGGCGATTAAAAATTCA